CGTAAATACCGAAAGCGTAAGTTTCTTCCCACGAGAAATGATCCCGAGCGTCAGATGTGACGATAAATCCATCCGAGCGCTTCCACTCCCCGAGAGCGTTTTCAATTAAAAAAATATCACCAACGCTTTTTCACAAGTTCAGAAGAGCCCTATCGGTCATCGTGCTGGACCTCCTCGCCGAACCTTACGGCCGATTTACTCTTATCGCAATCCGCGATCGGAAACCCCTTTTGCTCTCAGCGGTAATTTTTCTCGGCGGAAACGATGATGGGGGCACTCAAGTAGATACTAGAGCCCAAGCGTCTGGACCCAGATACATCGCATCTTCCATCGACGGGCCCAAGGAGACCTGGTCCCTCTGAATTCAATCACGTTCTTGGTATCAACGCCCCGAGGTATTTGATGATGATGGTGTTCTCGGCATTGATGAATTTCCTCCCGGAATCGGATGAATTCTTACGTGATGTCTTATCCCGAAAATTCCGCGTGCATCCTTCTCACCTTCCATTCGGGCTTCGGGGTAAGTCCCTGACTCGGTCGTATTCCTCATTCGCCTGGTCCGCCGCTCGAGCCTCACGATCGATGATCGACAAGAGACCACATACGGTGGACCCAGTTTATTTCCCACCACGCCCTCCCTGCGTAAACGCGCGGAGGTGGATCGATCCTTAAATCCACGTGCTACGAGGATCCGCTGAGGACGGGATTTAAAATCATGTCGTGATCGATGCACTCACTCTTCAATTCTCATTCTGGGTCGCGGCGCTCCTGACGAGACTCTCTCGAGAGCGATGTTTTCTGCGTTATCGAGTATCAGTGATGCAGAAAGGGGTCGTTTGGTGCATGCACGACCGATTATGCGCCTGCCCCGATGGACTCGCGGAACTCGCGAAGCCGAAAGAGTACTCGCGAATCGTGATGTTTCCATGTCAGTACTGACCTATGTTGTGTCATATCAAAATTTGCTCCCGCTGCGGCCGTCATGGAGGAAGCATTCGCGGAACTGATCAAGGTGAATTCTCCAAATCGCTCCCAAGTCGAGACGTTTAGCTTCGCGTATTTTTATGGTGTCATCCGTGGAGGTTATCTCATTGTGATTCGGACAGTTCCTTTCCCAGGTAACTAAGGGTTGAGGAGAGCGAGCTTTTTCCTGTGAGAAAAAGTTTCGAGCGGTCCTCCTCTTTTGTTAGTGTACTTATGGATGTGCGGACCTGGGTAAAGCAAATTGAATTTCGTGAGTTGCGGACTCATCGGGGATCTCGATCACCTAGCTGAGGCTTTCTTCCGGCCTGATTGACAATATTTATATCGCAAATAAAAAAACACCGATCGATCGATCGAATGATGGATTATATTGGGAGAATTTTACCTGGAATTTCGGGGTATGTCGCTATCCGGAGGCTAGGCTACGGCGCTTGCATCATCAAAGGTCGGGATTAACGAATGAGCCCCGAGCTCTCTGAACGAAGAATTGACGATATTCGCCGAGCTTTTCATTCTCTCCCAAATCTCAACCCGGAATCTCGACCATTGAATGATGGTTATCAGGACTGATTTGGCTCTCCGTAACTCGATTGGACGAGAAGACTGCGCACGTCCCCCGTGTTCCGCGATACCGCAGTCTTCGGGGACTCCGGGCGAGGGACAGAATTCCTTGAACCTCGGACCCCGGCAGTCTCAGTACATGTTTCCCCAGTATCTCGAGCTGACTCGAGCACCAGCGGTGGAGAAGAAGATGGATTTCAAAAGAGAGTTTCACGGAGACGCCCCGGAAATCAGTCTCTCCTATGGGGCGAAGCATTATACTGACCCGAAACATCAGCCATCGGCTCTTCGGGGACTTGAATCAATCGAGAGGGCAGGAATGAAAATTCCATGCGGAGAGAGAGAACCTCCGATTGTTTTGTTCCTTTCTGTCGGGAATCGGGGGATCGAGGATAAATTAAAAGTCCTCTGTCAGCTGTGAGCTTATTCCGAGACCACTCAGCTTTTTTTCGCTGTCTCCCGGTAGCTCGGAAGAACTGTGCGTTCCCTCGCTCCCTTCGAAGGAGCCCGTGAAGGGAACCAGAGCCATGAGTTCCTTTGAGCACTTCACCTGAGTTCAGGTCAAAGACCTCCCTCCGTATCCGGATCGATCCGCCATGACATGAAGAGACTCTTCGAGGAATCGAAAAGCGGAACACGTGGCGTTGCTGTGGTCATTCCTTGTCCAGCTTACCAGAACCGCAGAGAAACTCACAGTTTTGCGAGCGTCAGATCGAGGACCACAAGCTCCCCATTGAGGATCATCACGAGTATCAGACGGTCAACCAGGCTGATTTCCTTGTCATCTATGACCTGCCCAATTCGATTGATGGAGTTCTTCCAAAGGCTATTCAGCACACTCGCTGCAAACCTCGGAACTTGACTGCCTTCGGCGTCGCCAGAGTCTGCGGCGATCTGGGCTTGAACATTCTTAATCATATCACCTCGGGAGGAGTGCCATCGGAATCGTCGCGTCCCCTTTGTACAGCAGAGTGAGCGCTCCCCAGTTCTGTGCCTTCGACTGGTATTTCATGGATGTTTCTGGTCTCCGGTAGATGTTGCATAACGAATCGGGTGTAGCCAGGTGTGAGTCTCGAAAATGCCGAGAGGCGGTGCTATCAACCCTTGCAAAGATCGTTTTCGGGATGGACGAGTCGTCCGGTGAATTCTCTCTGCTCTAGAACGCTGAAGATCGAATAATCATGCTCCAGTCTCATTTACGAATGCTCATAACCCGAAACTATTCTCAATGTTGATAACAATCGACCTTGGAGGGTCCCACACGGGAACCCTCCAAGCTTTCGATACCCCATAGCATCCATGACGAGGCAATCCCAGGAGGGGGAAGAATCAGAGACGATTATATTCAAGTGTTGATTTATTCATGGATGAATGAATGTTTTCATGCGATCTAGGATAAACTTGTGTAGACAATGGGTTGAAGGTATCACTTCATGGAGATACCATTCGCCTCGTTCCTGCGGTATTCCGCCAAGTTCTCGAAGATGACTCTTCGTCTATCGTATCGCGCCGATCATATTGCTAATCAGTGAAGCTGGAGGTTTCCCATTATAGTTTCATTGGCGTAGAGGGTCTGAATGTTCCATCATTCCCAATGAACGGGGTGGATCGTTGATGACAGTGGGGCAGGAGTCTGAGCATCATCAACAACATTGCCGTCTCCATCGACAATCTGGTCCAGACCGTTCATTCGGAGAGAAGACCTCTCCACCGTCGTCAGAAGCTGCTCACAACGCTCCCGGCGAATAAGATCCTAACTACCGATACCAGTCGATCGTTCGGTCGGTCACGAATGATTCGTTACAAGCAATGCATCAATCGATCGAGGACCCTTGAGGTCATGATTGAAAACTTTGTACAACAACACACATGTGGACAGGGCTAGAGATCGGTGGTAATTGTGGTAGTGTCGACACATGCTTAATCAGTATAGCTAATCGCACAACGTCTTCGGGACGATGTGCTGCTGCCTTGTCGCCTAGGAAAGGACCAACTCAAGGGGCTAGGAACCACAACACTGCTTCCGCGATGTGAGGAATTCCTTTTTTTACAAACCTGTGCGAATAATCTCCGTTGTTGAACAGTATCCAACAGTTGGGCGCTCATAACGGAACATAGGTGTTCAACATCATGTGATTTTTTGGAGGAAAATATTCGGCGCGAAGTAACTAAGTAAGTTCCAGGTTCCATTCAGGACCGACCAGCTCTCGAAGGGCGAAATTCGAGCCCGTCTTCAACCAGTTGGATACCTTGCGCTGTTGCTCGATTAGGTCGACCGGACCGCGGGATCCGCGCGGAATAAGTATCAGAACATAGGAATACAATGAGTTTGATTAGAAAACGATCCATCGTCGTGTTGTGATCGCGCATTCTGAGGTCTATGAAATAATTTCCAAGGTTGGAATCGGAGGTCGGTCCAGGGTTCCAAGGTTGGTCGACGGTACCCGAAGGAATTTCTTGCTTCCGTCCACCGCATTGGAAGCCAAGACTCGATGCCAAAAGCGATCGAGGTCTGCGCATCAATCACACCGCATCCATCGAACCTCTGTGAACATTGAGCTCGTCTAGATCGCTATCCAGCGATATCAAAGCTTATTGCTCCAGCTGAGCGATTCATCCGCTCTCGCAACCTCGAGTAATTGAGTTGTCGCACGCGGTAGATCTTCCACGAGAACCAGTCTCCCGGGATGAAATAAGAAAGTTATCAATATGTATACAGGAAGGTGAACACAGTGTCTACAGTCTACATATATGGATATTTATGACAGCGTTGTCTACTCATATATGTAGAGTAGAGACGCGCACGTTTATATCCGTAAGCAGCGAAACCAAGCAAAACACACTTCTGCAAACGGCTCCTGTACAACCGTAGTAGGATGATGATGACAACGATTCGGATCTCACGTTTTTTACAAGGTTTTCACCCTCTCCACAATGCCCAACACATGCTTCCGTAATACTCTTACCTAGTTGGAGGAGAAACGCCTGCTTCTGTTTGGCGACTCTATATATTGAACTTAATGAGCTGTCATTCGTCGAAGAGGGAAATTGGGATAAATACACAATCGCTTCGAAGGTCTAACTTGGCTAACACGTAGTTAGAGGCGATGATCGATGATAATTCAGAATCTCAGTTCGTTGTTCGCTTCACGTTTGAGATTTCCACCGGAGCAGATAAGGTCAAGTATTGCCGCGGTTCGCAATCGAAATCGACGAATAGTCGACAGCAGAGAGAGAACTGCGAGTTGGGATAGTCAAGTTTAACGCGAAAAACTCTCAATTTCTTAGACGCTAATAGACATTGTTCTCTGAGAATCCGTGGATCTCAAGACCATCAACAAGGGTCGGGCGTGCAGGGTTAGTAATTACCGATGTGTGTTTGCCCTTCGGGGCTCTCATCGTGGGACCCTGAATTACCTCGCTTGATGTTTTCTATACGCTTGCGAGCTAACGTTTCACGGCTAGCTTCACGCTCTTCTCTCGTAATTGCACTAATTTTAAACTGCTGAATCTAGCTAAGGACTACATACATACGAAGAGTTTCGTCCTCGTGAGCCAGAGGCCGAGGATCAGCGTGTCGGATAGTGAGTTGAAAAGTTGTGATTGAGCTGAGGGACACGCTGTTGCTACGCCCTCCTCACAAGGGGATATATAGTTTTTTTCTCGATGTTCGCGCTGGGAGCACACCGTCTAAGTGAATATGCGAGCTATTTTGACCTTGAGTCGAATGCCTTGAAACCGGTTCTCGGATTACTTAGTTGACCAACAGCGTGTGGGATTCCATGGGGGCGGCCGAGTCGTATAACGTATCCGTATCTTGCGTCGGTTCGCCTTGGAGTTGACACTGATTCGAGAGCGTGCCAGCGCCGCAGTCACAGAAGAATCTGTCGTGGCGAATGAACTCGACGTCGTGACCTGAATGGCACGTCCGAATACAGTTCACGCAGATGGCGTTCCTGTCCGTCGTATTGCACGTTCGGCATCTGTGATGAAGGGGATAACTTCTTCAGAAAGATCTCAGATGGAACAGCGTGCGCTCAAGGACACAGACTGCGGTCTCCGGGAGGCAAATTGAGCGTGAGGCTCTGAAGGGATACTACGTTCGATACTACGATCTTCGTCCACGAAATCATTCCTCCGAACCCACCTGTAGAAGTCATGCATCGGAAACGAGGTGTAGCTGCTGATCTTGTAGAGGCATTGACCACCGGCGACGGCCTTCTCGACGGCATCGTGATTTCCGAACAGACGATTATTCTTCAGATGCGGTTGAACACCGCTCGCTAAACAAAGACCTCCGAAGCGATTGTTGAAGACCTGATTGCCCTCGAGAGTGGCCGTAGCTCCATTGGTGATCTCCACGCCAGCTGCAAGACCATCGAAAATTCGATTCCGCTTCAGAAGCGGATGACTCTGCGTCGAGATGAGAACACCGGCCTGCAAGCACAATTTCCAGCCTTGAGCTCACTTCTGTTTTGTTGAGGGGCTCGCGAAGGGTTGACCCTACTCGCTGGGCAGATTTGTAGCATACCCTACACGCAATGAACTAGCGGCACTCTTCCCCCGAATTCAGTTCGGGATGGGAGACCAGCTCCCTGAGTTCAAATACCTGTGCGTTTCGGAAGATGTCGTTTTCCTCGAGGACACCTTTTCCTCCGTTGAAAATGCAGACGCCCCCGTCTCGGCCATCATAGATTTTATTGCGTCGAAGAGTGGGATTCGAGTCGGTCTTAATCCAAACTCCGGCCATGGCATTGTCAAAGATCTCGTTGTGCTCCAGAACTCCTAGACCTGTGAAGTCGAGGGGAATAGAGGATTGGAACATTGTGATGTGAATGGTCGAGCGCTGCAACGTCTCGACGAGGAATGCCGGAACAGCCGAGCTCCAAACGAATACGAACCTCCATTGTAAACCAAGACGCCGCCGTTTTGACCGCCCCATATCTTGTTCCGCCGAATGATAGGATTGCTGCCGGTTCGTATCTGGACCCCAGAATAGAGATGATTGAAAATATCGTTCTCCTCCAGGCGACCGTGGCCGTTGTCGTAGAAATACACGCCGACTTGTTTCCCCGAGTGGATTCGATTCCGTCGGAGAACAGGCGTACTGCCGGTCGTGATCCAGACTCCCGCGAGCGTGTTGGCGTAAACTTCGTTCTCCTCGATGAGGCCCTGGCCTTTCTCGTGCACGTAAATGCCTCCGTGCTGGCCGTGGTGAATTTTGTTATGGCGCACAATGGGGTCAGAGTTTGTGCGAATCTGGATACCCGCCAAAGCGTTGCCGTGAATGTTGTTGTGTTCGATGAGGCCGCGACCTTCACCGAATATGTACACGCCTCCTTGGTGGCCGTTGTAGATGTCGTTTCGACGTATCGTCGGATTGCTGTTCGACGTGATCCATACGCCGGCGAAATTGTTCGAGTGTATCTTGTTTACAAGAAATTGACCTCGTCCGCTCTCGTGAACGTAGACGCCACCGGTTTGACCATGATGAATTTCACAACTGGAAAGCGACCATCTCAATTGGAGTGGGCCAATCCATAGGGATCCGGAGACCAACGCGCGGAAGCGGGCTCAAACATAATTGGCAATCTCCTCGTTCGGCTCGGAATTACTCACCGAACTACGGTTGGGTTGGCACCGGCTTTGACCTCAAAACCGGCGATGCGATTGTTATGAATATCGTTCGCTTCGAAATATCCCAAGCCGTTATCGAACGTGAACACGCCGACGTCCCGGCCGTGATGGATGTGGTTTCTACGCATAACTGGGTTTGCGTGGTTCTTGACCCAAACTCCTGCGAGGGCATTCCTGGAAGAAGGATTCAAAATGTTGGAGTGGTCTCTGCCATCGAAGTCCTGGGACAGGACAGGCTCTTCAGCTGCGTGCCAGTTGCCTACCTTGAGATTTCGTTTTCTTCGTAAAGACCCTGAGCGTGGTCGGTGATGTAGAGGCCAACGTTCTCGCAGTCTGATATGTCACAGTGCCGTACTGTAGGTTCGGCCCCCGTACCTATCGAGAGAGGCGGATGGCACATTAGAGAGAGAAATATTCAATAGAATTCGACGGAAGGTCTCCTGCATGGATATCGATGTGATCTGTCTTCGCTCGACTCTGCGGCTTCGAGTCTTCGCGAAAATAAGTGACTCACCCGACACGCAAACTGCAGCTCCCACTACCGACGACGATCGGATTATGCAGTGGTCGATGATCGGCGCTGAATTCTCATTGATTTCGAGACAATAGTGTTTGTGATGGGGTACTGGAAAGAATGGTAATGTTGACAGCCCACAATGGATGCCGACGGTAAATAGGGGCCCTCTTAGTCGATTCTGGGCAATCGAGCGTCACGTCGGAACTCACCGCTGGACGTGACATCGGGACTAAACCGTAGTGTCAGATAGCCCAAGTAGGAACCGCGGCTGCCTTCGACGAATGTGATCGTAGACTCAGAGTCTCGCTCGAGTATCACTTTATCGGCTGGGTTCCAGCCCGGACCGCAGCCCAACATCATGATCGGACTGTCGACAATGATAAATTCGCCTTTGTAAGTCCCCGAGTGGATGAGTATCAACGGTGGTTGATTCGGCGCGTCTGCCGCCGGACTGTCGGATAGGAGTAGCCGGTCGTCTCTATGAAACGCATTAGAGTTGTCCATGTCTTCGGTCCGATTTAGCGCACTCTCGATCGTGTCGAAGTAGGTCCTGGGTCGTCCCCTACTCACGATAGAAGGGGGGAGAACATGAATAAAGATCCTTCTCAGTTGACGAGTCGATTCGTTCGCTCCTCAGACCCTGGTTCAAAACCTCACCTGTCCGCGTAACCAGGACGGACGTGTAGAGCGCGATAAAGTTGACGGAAACTTTCTTTCCAGGGGTTTCGAACGAAGTGCAAACCACCTGAAAGCGAATTCGGTACTGCTCCGGTACTGTCCAGGATTTCGAGGGGCGTAGGGAGGAGAGAGAAGAAGGAGCTCCACCCACCTGACAGTGATGAAGTCGAACTGGCGGAACCTGCCGAAGGAGCTCGCGGAATTTCATGATTGAGAGAGCCAAGCTGCGCCGGGGGTTTCTCTGCGAGCCACGGTTTGATTTGCATCCCGGGACAGGGGCCTGACGTGTTAGTCGGTCCAGCTGTCGAATCTGTTGGGATAGCAGAGCGCAGTCATTGTCAGAACAGAGTATATTCCCACATAGAATGGGAGCATATTGCCACGTCGAATAGGAACAAACATAATCGGAACAGCAACCTCAATGTCCGAGTGAGACAAAAACTGAAAGATGACACAGCCACACGAATATTCTGACTTCTCCAGAAAATGTCGACCCTTGTTTAATTTCACATACCCGATGACGGACCGGCGCCAATGGGTGGTGGACTCACTACCCCTGCGCGGTTCACATCGACTTCGTTGCCCTGAAGCGCGATCTGTAGCTGCGGTTGAGGCTGAGGTAGAGGCTGTGGACTACATGAGCTCTGGGGACACATTTGAACAAAATAGAATTGTCCGGGACTCGAGCCGACCATCAGCGGTAGATCGTATTCATAAACAAGCTGGTAGAGATGCTTCCATAACTCGGTGTCGTTGGCTGCGGAAGGAGAGTCGTGAGGCTTCTAGAATCCGAACACATCGCTCCTATCCATGGACATCTGCCTTGTACTCACCAATTGTATGGAAACGCTTGCAAACTTGTGCTAAACGACAAAGATCTTGCTCGACCAAGTACGAGAAGATAGTCAATAATACTTCATCAGGTAGTTCAACAATGTTCAGGCCGCGATCAACGGGCTCGGAGCAGCCGGGCATCATATGTTCGGGTGACATCATGTACCCACTCATGGTGTCTGCAAATGCGGGACACCCTGAGATTACTCGAATGTCCACAAGCGCTCAGGTAGGAGGAATCAGTTTCCCCGGAGAGATACCGGAATTCCAGACTCGAATTGAGAGCCTGGAGGACCTTCCGGATTGTTTGCAGACGGTAGCCTCACCTTCCATCGACGCTTCATTTTGGCCCAGCGGAGAGGAACTTCCAACCGAGGCGCTCGTCGGGAGCACGGGCTCGAGCGACATGAGGGCCGAATCGAGACATAGAGGTTCCTCCGGTGACGAACTCCCGGTCCGTCTTTGGCGTTTCCTCGGAGCTGCTGCGGCCCAATTCGGTCCCAGAGACGTGAGGTAATAGATCTTCCTGCGCAGGTCGTAAGGTGGCTGATGCGGGGCGACGGCGCCTGCCGGACAGGTCAGAGAGGCGGCGGAACCTGGGGAGTTATATAGTTTCAAGGACGCTACCCCACTCAGCAGCACGTCTACCTTAGTCTGAGGAATTTCGGGAAAGCTCACCTGGCACAGGATTCTGGTTCGCGTCTTCGGCGGCACGCATTTTCCTTTCCGAGCTTTCAGCCATTGAGGGGTCAGCGAAACCTGAAATCGACCCATGACTCGTAGTATCGTGTATCCCGTCGAATCGCTGGGGAAAATGGCAGGAAAGGACGAAAATCTTCGTCTCATTCCGTCGCCTCTGAGGCTTCAGACGGAGGAGCTGTTTCGATCGCTTGGGCTTGAGAGAACTATAGAGATCATCATCACAATATGTGGGGTGAGCCCTGTTGAGATGATTACAATTCAGCGACTCTGTTCAGGTCTCTCTATTTTTCGAAGCCCGAGTCACTCATGGATGCTTCACGTTCCCCTCTGGTATAAATCTCATGGACTCCACAGTTCTTCTATCAGCAAATTATCCCGGTATTTCCATCCTTCTCTCAGAAAACGATTTTCTGGGCAGAAGTGATCGATATCAAGGGAGGCTTCGAAACGCATGGTGGCCTCTTGATCACTCGCATGCAGTCATCGGCACGCCCGGAGCCGAAGTTACGCTGAGTATACTTTGCTCCTTGCGGTTCTCCGATGTCGTCCGGGGAAAACGAAGACTAGCGCGTTTCTCCGGCGTCCGGGTGAGACGCCATGCAGTCCGTGGGCAGCTGGCACTCACCGAAATGGGCTATGAGCTTCCCGACGTGAACTCGTACCTGGCACGCGCTATTGTTTGAACACCTCCCATTGAACTGCTGTAATGAATTAGTCGGACTCTATTCACCTGAACTCCGCGCTCTCTTGGAAGTAGAAGCTTGCTGATTTCCATTCACGGGAACTCCGACGCTTTTTCTTCGGAGACTCTTACGAGCCTGCTTGGATCCACCGGGATTCTTCGACGACATTTTTGTGAGAAGACAGACCGGCGATTCTAGGAGCTGCAACGAGCAACGAACGACCACAGAGGCGAGCGGGCGGAAAACGAATGCTTTTGAAACAGCAGAAGTTTTTCTTCGTCGACAGGCACTCGCTGATGGCGCCGCAGGTGCACAGGCCCTGAAATAAAGCCAGCTATACAGCGAATCGCTGTGCAGACCTGGCCGGCAGGATCACAAAGCACCGCACTCAATCAGTTCTTCGCACAAAGAGGCTTGCACCATATCGGCCCATTGCCTCTCTCCGACTCGGGGAGTTTATGAGTCTACTGCTGGTCGTGAGGGGCTTCGGAAGGCTCGGGAGAGGCTTTGGCTGTCTCGAGAGCGTCCGGAAGGGTTCGGTTACCTCACGGACACGTCGCGAGGAACGTTAAGCGTCCGATGCTCTCGGCACGACTGGACGATAGTGACCAACGCTAAGAACAGCTTTTCACCAGCAAGCGGAGGTCGCCATGTTCAGTTGTTACACAACATCCACAGACTACAACCGATAGGAAGCTCTGGCAGTGAATAAAAAAATGGCAGCCACCAGCTTCTAGCAGACGACACGCGGTCGATACGAAACTCGGGGCGGACCCCCGCGCGCGCGACAGCAGAATCTGCGTTGATGCATCTCACATGATCGTGGTCAGATGATATCAGACCCGCGAAGCAGAAATCAGAAACCCTGGCGGTCAGTGAAAACTGTGCAAGGGTCGTGGGTCAACGACCGCTGCGAGGCCAAGCCATTCAGCCGAGGCTGTTCCACTGAGCACGACTCGATAGGGATGCGCGGAGCTCGAACATGTGCACGAACATCGACTGACTTCCGGGTAGTCAGTCGAAGAGGGTTTGACGGTGTCCTCTTCCCTCGAGACTATGACCTGTGTCTGAGGGAACTCGCTTGCCTCCTGAAGCGGAAGGGGTCATTCGGGGCATAGTCGGGGTATATGCGCATTCGTGGGAAGAAGAAGACCGCAGCTGGAACAAGATCGCCTCAGGCCGGGCGGAAAAATAATAAGTTTGAACGAGGGAGGCCTAGACCCGATCGAAGGGCGATCCCTCTCACCCTGTCGGAATAACTCTCTGTAGATCCTTCGCCTTGGAGATAAAGCAGCTCCAAGTAAGATGAGAGCTCGGAGAAAGCGATCGACGCGCCCAATAAGATGAACTTGGATGGACAAGATATGCACGCTCATGAAGTACTGATGTCTGTTGGCGCTCCCAGATGGAATGCTAGCGCTCCGACGGGGGCAGAGGTCAAGAAGTCGTAGAAAGTCTCAGATTGTCATAATTCCCACCATCATCTATGATCAGATCAAGACTGAAGGATGCCGTTTCTATTCGTCAAACGTACGGGAAAAGAGGAGTAAACCCTGCCCGCCGCTATGAGTGTTCGGTCCTCTTGAGAGTCGATGCAGACGGTCGGAGGAGGCTCGATATCATTTTTATGTTGCATACTTGGATATTTGTGAGGGCTAAGGACGGCGAACAGGGAACGGACTCGTTGCGCACGTCGCGTGAAGATCCGCCGAATGGCGAAAGCCAGACTTTGTGAGAACCCGAGTTTGTGGGAGCCCGAACAAGTGGAAGCCAGGATTTCTGCCGCGGAAGGGGGGGGGACGAACAAACTGTCAGATGGCCGTGATAATTTTTCATGGAACGGACATGCTCATTGACGAAAGGGTATTATTTCAAGAAATTATTGCATCTGACTTCTTTCAGCTGTCGAATAAGATGCGGCAGCATGGCGCGGAGCAGGATCTCTTCAGGGAGAGAATCAGAGACGGATGGAGTGCAAAAATAAGCGTCTGCCTAAGGCATGCACCTGCATAAAGCATAAGCTTCCAACTTCTGATTTCGATTCGTCATTGATTTCTTCTTCGTGAGTGTGTTGATCTCAGTCAGAAGATCGCCGGTCCGTTTCCTTTCCTGGCCACGCAGCGAACGCAGGAGCCGTAAATACTTTATGTAGTGCCGCCTCGGACTCCAGAATGTGACTGCTCGTTGAAATAAGACGTGGTGCTGACCCGAGTTGACTCTCAATGTTGTCAAGTCGATGAGCTATTCAAAGAAGTTAGCAAACGGACATACTTCCGACTCTGAGATATCTCGCCGTGGAGACGGCATCATGGTCTGGGAGATCATAGGAATCCTGAGTATGGCTCGGAATCTCCCGAATAAAGGACTTCCCACTCCCACGCTTCTCCCTCATAGCATAGATTCGTTTTCACATATATAGATCTATTGAGGATTGCTCGTTAATGAGCAATACCCTGCTTTGCGACGGTCATTTGCTCGCATCAGAAGAGATCAGTGAACCCTCGGATAGGAGTCAGATAAGACACCGGACTGCGACTTGTGAGCGCAACAGAACAGAAAAGAGGAGAGCATGGCAGGCATGACTCGAAGGGATCACCTCGTCGGATAATCATGAGGAGCATGCTTTCTGCCAGGAAGTGAGTTCCGTTCGCTTTCTCAGAGGACCGCTGGTGGACGATGATGGAGTTGCCTGCTGCTGGAACAAAATCCCCTTGAAGAGAAAATCACTCTCCGCCGGTACAAGGCGCACCCGCATAGCATGAATAAAGAGCTCTTTCTCTCAAAGAGCGTCGATGAAATCACTTGGAATGCACGGCTTAAAAAAACTTCTCCATGCGAAGTGACTGTGGTCCGATACTGGAGCCTCGTCAACGATGATCGGATATACTCGGCTTGGCTGAGGAAGATGATTTGAAGGGTCATAATATATAGTATTCAGATTTTTATATATTTATTATATGAATATATATATGGTAATATGGTCTACCAGTAGAGAGCGAATCGAATGATCTGGAACAGTCGGAGGCGAGTCTTCTCACCTTGAAACTCGGAGGATTGCGGAACCATGAGTCGACCATGGTTACGAGCTGCGGGATAAGTCCCGCTCTCGCTCTTTTTTCCCGGTCGACGCTTCTACGGTCGCAGATCAGCAGTCCGACTTTCCGGCTTTGGCTCTCGAGACCTCTTTTGAGATATCGGAGCTTCTGGAGTTTGCTCCAATATACCGCCCAGGAATCGCCGGCTTCAGCGCATCGAGAGTCCGCTATAGATAGCCCCTTAGATAGGATTTGCACTTCGAGCAGCTCTCGGTGTTGAATTCGCTCCATAACCAACAGCCATGCATGGAACGGTCGCAGGACCTATCCTGACGGTCCGATCACTGGGACAACATCCACATAGGATGCCCCAATGGATTGACGCAAGCATCGAGATGTTAAACAAATATCCTCGTTAGCTACTGATCAACAACATGGAATCTATGGGTTCTCCTTCACTCCCTGAAATTAATGTGGAGGGAGACCTGGAGCCAGCGCCTCGCCGCGCCTTCCGCTCCCCACAATTACTCATTGTAACATGAGTAACGGCTCCCATTCTCTAGGGGCGGAGTCGAGGTCCGGATTGATGTCAACGGGACAGAGCGCGGAGCATTCCGCAAAGGCGACATCGCAGACTGACGTGAACTCGAACCACGGGGAGAACGCTGTTTACGGCCATCGGCAATCCACCGATTGAAATGAGTATCTTCGAGTGTAAAGACTCATCCGTCCTAGGGGAGATTTTGTGTGAGCCAGAGGGGATCGAAAGGGTGATACCCGACGCTTTGACATTCGAGACACGGATCTGACATGCGCCGAGCGCGTTGGAATGTCGGGCGAATGTGAACAACCATCTCGGCCCCGACCTCGAACCGTCAACCCGTATATTCTAGGGAATATTGTTATTTTTTTAGGATTGTAGCACACCGTGAACGAGCTCCGAGCTCGACGACTATGTCGGCTTAAGTCGGAACCCGGTAGGGCCCGCTGATTTCGCTTTTGAAAGTTCGCGAAGGGGGAAATCTAATCCGACCTGACCGCCTGCGCGGCTCGGAGAGTTGCTCACTGGGATACTTGAATTTCGACCTGAGATTCCGGACTTGCAGCGGAAAGGTTTCTTGAGAATGAACCCGACCCGCATGAGATAAACCCTAGAGTCAGGAATAGTCCGACCGCGAGGACATGGGAGCAGCAGATAATGAGCAAAGGAGAGAGCGAGTGTGAGAGTGAGTTGTGCGCGTGATCGGTTATCTGGAGCTACATATGTAAGAACGGTCGGAGAATGACAATAACTCATTCTCCGTGTCAGAACTTCTGACTCAGATGTCGACGTGTACTCTCTCCCGACAATCTCATGAATGCCTTTGATGATAAGCTTCGAGTTGGTCCGTCAATCAACCTTGAAAGGCGAAAGAAGCTGCATTAAGCCAAAGAAGGCGCCGACATTGATTCGGGAGCTAACTTGAGCGCTCTTCCGAGGAATGGTGTTCTCCGTGTTTCCTACGAGTTTTCGGCCCCAGAGCTTCTTGCAGAGGGAACGTACGAAGTGCGGCGGTCGTTGACGAGGTGTTCATGTCATCAAACACTGCTTTAAGGGTCATGGGCTCCGACTTCTTCAATACTGTATAGAATGATTTTTCCGCGACGCCGAGTACCGCTCGGCTTCCCTTTCATCCACTGTTGATAGAGATACGTGGCCGTACGTACGCCGGAGAGTACCTGTAGAATCTCCGCAGAATGATCTACAGCATCCTTTTCTCCCGCGGGATATAATCACGCCGCCCAAGCCGGCGGTATACACGATTTCTTCGCGAAGTTCGCTTCTCACAGCTAGTTGACCGGTCCTGACTGCGGAGGCCAACTCTACGGAAGTGGCTTCCAGCTCACTTGGCATTCCGAAAAAGTTTTCGATAGCGACCCAATGAGTTGAGAACTAGCACCTGAATTTCAACTCCAAGATAAAGACTCAATGCGATCTCCTGAATTGGGACGCGCGGTCCGCCTTCGCCACACGGATTCAGAAATTCGGAGCAAACTCTCGACTTCGATCGCGCGCTCTCGGCAAAAGCTGTCTGGAGCGTCGTCGTCTGCTAATCGAAGCCAAGTCGTGTGTCTCTCGAAGAAGAGTCGGAGTTGACGATTCAGAATGTTGACGGTCAAAGTTGAGAGAGAAGCTGGCAATTTCTCGCGCAGCGGCTTGAGTCTGGGCGCCGCTGGCGCGGGAAATACGGCGACTTGAGTCGGTTTGCGCGCCGCGAGCTGCCGTCTGCTGCGCATTGTCCGATTCCCCTCTCCCAGCGACGCTCCTCTTCTGGGTTCTCGCTACCGGAGGCTGTGTGAGCCGCTGGTGATTGAGCGCGCGAGTCCGAACGATCGGTGTTTCTCGTTACAAGTTCACGTATTTTGATGTGAAATCTCTCTGGACTCGTCCGAAATGTGTGCTCTCAATCCTAACCGAACAATCATCGAGAAACTCTGTAAGTGAGCCGGAATCCCCGGTCTGCCTCGTGAATCGAGAGAGGCCATTCGAATTGTGAATCGTGAAATCGTCCTGTAAACAAACATGTCGGTGATGCCTTGCAATTAGTCATGAATCGTATTCTAGGTGACGGGGGTAATGTCATAGCGGAAAGACAAATCAACTTCACCCCCGCCTTCGTTTGTCTGAGTCGATTTGATCCGGGAGAGCTCCCGGGCAAATCGGACCCACGGAAATCCCCACGAACAAGCGGTACGAGAAGATCTGCGACTGCTGCAGTTATTGAAACCAATCGCGAAACCGCAATGGCGGCTCGTATAGAATCGGACACGGCTACGTATGCTCCCGGTACGCGTCGGAGTATGCGATCGACCGTTCCGAAGCAGAGCTCGCAGAGCGGAGAGACCAGTAGCGCGATGGGAGCCGGGAAGGCGAAGTCCCCCACCACGAGAGCGAAAACGGTTCCTAGAAATGAACCCCCAACAAAACGGAAGACGAAATCCATCGATGCGCAAAAGACCAAGAAGACAGAAACTCCAGTCGGGAAACTCTCTCCGGTCAAAATCGAAACGATCGAATCAATGCAGAATATCAGACCAGAGTCCCTCCCGACATGCCGTATCGTCCTCAAATCCGTGGATATACCCGAGACGGTGATCCTCGATGCTAAAACGAAGCGGCGCATGTCAGCCCTGTTCAGAGCATCTCGGAAGTCGGCGAGTAGTGTCAACAAATCCCCCCGCGATGCATCGACTTCGAAAAGGAGAACCTCGACGACGGAATCCAAGCAGTCGGTTGAGACATTCGAGGAGCCACCGACTAAAGTGCCGAAGTCGGACGACGGAGCCCACGAGGGGAAGCCTCAGCTCACCGTAAGAGGTCGCGGGGGTCCCCCAAGCTCACGGAAACGGAAACGCGGCACCACTGAGTCGGATTCTGCTATTGACGACGCAATATGCGTGAGCGACGATTCTGTTGCACAAAGCCCAGACGCCAGCTCCGGCGTCAGGACACCCGTGCGGCGGCGCGAGACGTCGCGGCTCCTCGCAATCGCAGTCAGACGACGCCCCCAGGAAAAAGGCTCAAAGCGTAAGGAATCGACATCTGCGTCCAAAGGCAGAGCTTCCGTGTCGAGTAAATCGAAAACCGCTCGAGGGACGTGTGGACGATCAGAGGACGTCGATGAAAGTCGATCGGTTTGTTGGGATGGGACTCCCGAGAGATCGACTGGACCCGCGGAGGTCGTTACGGTCAACGCGTCCGGAAATCAGAGCATTGTTCTGAACAACTCGAACGCGGCGGTTGTGCTAGAAAGACTCGCCATTGTTCCGATGCAGAATTATCTCAACGGGTGCAATCCGCCGACGTATCTGAGTTTGCAGCAGAATGGCAGATGCTCTCATTGTACTTGTGCTTGCAAGGCGGAAGAGGAACCATTGGACAGGAATCAGCCGCTCATCACAACTTTCCTCGAACGGATGAACAAACGTCGCAGACTGACTGCTCACGTTGATTCCAACGCCGGTAGAACGAAGGTTCCGAAAGCCGCGGTCAGACCTCGGCCGCTTCCGGAGCGACGATCGAAGAGGATAGCAGGAGACACCACGCCGGAGCTCATCGACGACCCTACGGAGATTCCTGGTTCTCCTGGATGTCAAGCCGAAGCGACGAGTTCGGAATCTCGTACGGACCATCCGTCAACAAGTGCGCCTCAGGGCAGTTCTTCGGATTTCGTTGATTCGACTTCACGCGGCGACGACGAAACTCTGAGCATGGGAGCAGATTCTCTCAGTGTTCAGGATAGAACTTCAAATGTTGACCAAGACGATCTCGACGAGGCGAATGAAGAAGCGCGAGACTCAGCGACTGACTCACCGGCTGGTCTACAGAGCTCGGCGGATGGGAGAGAATTTTGTGAAGCCTCAGAAGCCGAGGAGTCTCAAGCCCCGGCGCTGATTCCAATATTGGTCGACGAGGCGTGCAATGGGTCCGATAGAGATCAAAATTCGGTGTCAGATGTCAAACTCGTGCTTGAAGAGAGCTCTGATGAAAGCCTGGACGGGGAAATTCCCGTAGTTGCCGCCTCTGCGGACGACGCGCTCGAGGTCAGCGACGGAGGCTGCGACGCCGCTCGGGATGGGAATTCGCCCCTGGAAGTTCCGTCTGCACCGGTCCTTGAGCCTCAAGCTGCTCCAGAAGTTGTTCATGAGTCGGAAGCCGCTCCGGGAGTTGTTCCTGAGTTGGGAGCTGCTCCGGAAGTTGTTGTTGGGTCGGAGACGGTTTCAGGAGCCACGGTAGAGCCGAATGAGCTTGTCGCAGACGAAATCCAGGTGGATATCGATGGCGGCACCGTACAAAACGAGGAGTCCAGCGGGAAATCGGAGGCGATTGCCGATGTATCGGACGACGCTGAGAAGGCGGAGAAAGAAACAGCAGAGGTACCTATTGAAGGAGCTTGCGGTGAATCCGAAGTTCTCCGACGCGATTCATCATCTCCTCAAGGGGATGATGCTGCAGAAAATGACAGCATGGATCGAGAGAAGGATGAAGATGCCGGTTACGTATCAAACCCTGCCCTCGCCCACGAGAATTCTGTTTCGAGCCCGGACGACGACTCTGCCAACGCCGGATCTAGGCCAGGTTCTGCCGTCGAGCCAGAATCTGAGACTCGAATCGTTGAAAGTCAGCGGGAGAAGATGGAAGAGGACCACGAAGTCTGTGATGATCCTTGCGATGAACCGAATTTGGAGGGGGAAGCTGTCAATGACTGTGACTATTCAAATGGGCCGAATGAGGACGGGAAGAAGGACGCGAGCAATACCTCAAATAGTGATCTGGACCCGACTTCACCTGAAAAGTGTCCAAAGACTGGCGGGAAGCAAAATGAGGAGTTGAGTTCCGTGTCGAAGGCAGGGAATGCGACCGATCTCGACGAAAGTTCAGAGGTCAGCCCGGCCGAGGGAGACACCGATAAAATTAATGAGAATGATTCTGATATAACACTTCCTTGCGTGGTTTGAGTTTGCCAGGGTCAGAGGGTCGTTTGCTCGAACACAGTTCGTCGAGACAAATATCAAGGCTGTTACATGAGAGGCGTCGGAGGAGCAAGGATCCATATATCCGTATGTCATAATAAAAGCATATCTTTGTTATCTACCTATACAAACTGCTCCCTCGATTTCCATGTTCTCCTGGAATCGATTCCAGATCGATATCCTTCCTGCGAGCTGAAAATGATTATTATACGAGAGACATGGAATCATCCCTAGACATTGAGGAGAGCGAGCGTCCTGGTGGACCATAATTATTCCACAATTATATTCTCGATATCCCTGAGCGCTGGAAACTCGTCTTCCAGACAGTGAATTCTTTTATGCATTCTCCATGAGTCACGAGCTTTTCCTTGAAAGTCTCCGCTGCTCCCATCCCTTCACGTTGTGGCAAAACACGGAGATTCCACTCCATGCTTGTTTACAATAAGAAAGGAATAACTGCTGTGCGTGTTTTTGGGTAGTCCTTGAAGTTGGACTGATACCAGCGGTGACTGAGAAAGGCCATAGCCGATTGGTTGACGTACGTCCACAGAAGCGCATTGAACCAGGTGAAGTTGAAGCTCCAAAGTATCACCGTCAGTCCAGTGTATACCAACATCTCGGCGAGATAATGCGGAGACGAGACGTATTCGAACATCCCTCCTACAGGTGCTTGGTGTTTCGACGAGACCACCTGAGAAAATTGACATGAAATATGTTTCCTCATGGAGTCAGGTGTTCTCGGAGGCACCTTAGGGCGAAACACCCGAAGTCAAGAAGGGAGATACTTCACCTTTCCTGTGGCGTCCTTCCGGAAGTTCGCGAAGCGCTTAGTTGTGTCATGTTCCAAGTGGAAGGCCGCAGCGAAGATCAAGGTTCCGATGAGGACGTTGAAACGAAAAAGATCCGAGAATCGGAAAATCGTCGAAGAGTCGCTCCCAAGCGTCATCGAAAGGATCGAGTATTGGATTCCTGAGGAGAATAAGAACCATCGAAAGGAATGTGTTGCGAGGGTCAGACTTCTCCCCCGGGCTTCCGCCCTCTCCAATGCACTCACCTGTATAGAATATGTAACCTACGGCATAATGCCACACGTGCATCTTCGCGTCGGAGTACACGCTGACGAACATGCATTCGTAGCAACGCCGGTATACCTTTGAGCGAGAAAAATCATTATTCATAATTGAGAGGAGTTCCGTGGGACACTTCTTTTGCGAAGAACCGAAGATTCAATCCTATCGAATTGAAGCATGATTTTAGATCACAAGGGAGCGGCATAGGTTCGCTAGATTTCCCACAAACCTGTAGGGTCGTCAGGAGCTGAACCCACAGAGCAACGGCGAAAGGCACTGCAAAGTTCGAAAACGACAATGCGGGACCGTCGAACAGTTGAATGTTACCTGGAGCTCAACACTCATAGCTCGCGTAAGAATGCCTCACCATGACTGCGCCTGTTATGTATCAGGACATCCAGTGAGAAGCTCAGAGAGGACGGAACCGCTGCGTGGCCCGTGAACGCGCTCACCAGGAGGATCAGAGACCACAAGCTGAAGAGTACTACGGCGTACTGATAGAAATGCGTGAACCACCTGCAAGGGATTATCAAAGAGCCATGAAGTTTTTCATCGATAGATTCCCGAGGTGAGTATGTACTCAGCAATTCCGAACCATTCCCGTTCTTCTAGGGTGTATGAGCCACGGATGAAATTGGAGGTTTTTGGTTCTCTTCCCGATAGAGAGGACTCGAACGCACCTTTTCGGTATTGCGATATTGTTGAGGCGTCCGGCTTTCTTGTTATTACTCGAAAGCTTCCCATATAGGAAAGCTGATACGAGGAGATCCGATACCTGAAACGATTCCGATCTCTTACTCTCGCTAGTTTAGTCCTCAGGGACATGCGGGGGAACGCATCACCGACTAGAGAATATTCATCGAGTACTTTATCTATCGACAGAGCATGGCGCGATTCTGGGCGAGCAGGGTTCCTCTGCTCACCTTTTCAGGACGGTGCACGAGGAATAGATAAGTGATCCACAGGGGGAAGGTGCAACTGGACCATAGCACGTCTAGTAGATTGATCATTGCAACCCCAAGGGTGATTCGGCTCCTGCAAGGTCCTCCACTTTACCGCAAACTGATTTGTATCAACATGGATATGGGAGAATGAGACCATTCCGATCAATCAGTCTTCCTGAACCTCGCTGATCTTCGGGAAGCATAGCATTCCTATGGTCCTGAGAGTATGGTCTGTTTTGGAGCGCATGGGAAGAAAGACTCTCTCTCGGGTGAGACTCGGGAAGTCATCATCGGTAAATTATTATCTCACTGCCGATGAAGCCCCGCGGAGCCAGAAGGGATTCTACAGCGATTTTGCCGGCCAGAGCCAAGCTCGATCCGCCGGCGGAAGCTTATGCTCAGCTCGTGTCATGCGCTCCGGATGATACATAGAATCATGCATGCCTTACTCTCTTCATGCACGTCCACAGTTTACGATTTGAAGGGTCAGTCCTCGGTACCCAAGCGAAATGCCGGGTTCTACTGGTGTTCTGATCTAAATACGCGCGGGAAGTTCACGCGGAACTCGAATCTCGTCGGGAAAAGGGATTGTGGAGAGATGTGATGAGGGATTGTTGCTTGATGGACTACTGTGAAGGTTGGCTCGGAGAGATCATTCGAGCGAACTCGACGTTCGACTGTAGTTCGGGGGAAATGCTTACGATGGAGCTGCTGTGGTGACCAGGGAGAACGAGGAGACCGTGCAAGTGCCCAATCAGCGTCAATCTAAGCTGCCTACGTCAAGCGATTGAGCGAGGGGGCCGGGGTTTACATCGCACTTGACTGTTTACGGAGCGACCGTCCCCGTGGACGGCTGAGCGAGGATAACCCGGGAGAGGGAGATCCAAAGTGAGCTGCGTGGAGGTGCTACCCTGCTCCGCTCCGGGGCTGGGGACCGGAGCCGGAATACATACAGGATTTACGTGGTACTTGAGGCTGTGCGTTCTGTGCAATATTTTCGTGCACGTATGCATATCTCGAAGGCTTCACGATCTTCATGAATGTTATTGAGATTTTCGACTGGTCCCGCGTGTTGAGCAATTTCGGGTCTCCTTCGCCCTTTTTGCGTGCACCAATGAAGTTCATTGGAATAACGCTTGGTCGATGGAACAATTCATTCCTTTCGGTGAATTTTCATCTTTCGTCTTCCTGGTCACCGGACACACAGCAGTAATGATACATAATGATCCGAAGAAAAATGGAAGGCGGAACGAGCCCCGATATCCCAATCGACTGCGGATAATTCCCCGCCGATCGGTTTCTGGCTTGCGAGAATCCTGGGTGTTGTGGGGAGGAAACAAGGACGCTGTTTCGTTCTTTCTTTATTAGAACAAAAGCAATTAGCAGACGCTTTACACAGAACCTAACATCAGACTACATCGATATGCTCAAAATTCACACGAGTATCTTACAGCGGAAACCCGAATCGGTTCACGGAGTCCCTCGGAAATTCGGAGTTTCACGGTAGAAACTCCCGAAACCCGGTAACGTATAATTATAAATAGGGTTTATGATTATTTGAATTTCGTCCTAAATCATCCATGGAGTTCGCGCTTGTGACATCCGTATTTTACCGTCGAGGGCGCCGACGGTTTGGTCTACAGGATATCCAGGTGGACCCTAGGAAGTTTATACATGGAATATTTGTGACAGCCAACGCCAAGAGCTGTCGTGTGCGTACCGGCGTGAGAACAATGTTCTCCATCAGAGCTAGGAAACTGGAGAAATGCCTGAGTATCAGCCTGCTGAACAATATTTTTCCGAGGAACCATGGCGCGATTCCGATGGAGCCATACCCTGGAAATGAAATCATGCCTCCGATTCCGCCGGGTTCGTCCCGGTGTATCGTTAAGCGTAAATACTTCAGAACAGCTCACTGCGGGATCTAGGAGTATAGCACGAAGTATACCCGGGAAGAAAGGACCCTGACTATACACAGAGCACCCAAGACGACCGCAAGAGCGAGCGTCCGAGGCATGGATGGATCTCGCCCGGCAATACCGTCTTTCAGGCTGGAACATTTCTCTCTCGGGGAATGAGAGCAATTTCCCAACGCTGATCAAATTCTGGACATTTCTACCATGCAAGCAAGCTCTCGAGTAGCCATCTCGAGCTTCCATCACCGAAGTTTCGATCGCACGAAGCTCTCGATTCAAATCTCTCATCTCGGATTTAAATCCAAGGAGCCTTCGCGCACGTTCACCGAGCTGCCCGAAAATCGCATGCGATCGCTACCCTCCGCGTGCTTCATGTTGATGGAGGCCTTTCGATGCCATCAACTTCGTGTGGGACCGCTTTCAAAACCTCACCATCTCCCTCCTTCATTAGAAGGACGAAAGACGCGAGCTCGTGCGGAGCGACTTGAATTCGCTTGCCGGGGACCGTTTTTCCGTTTGTAGTGCCCGTTAGACTAGTTTCCGTAATCAAAGCAACGAGGCCGTCTTCGAAATCGACGCCTCGCGAGTTGTCTGAACATCCAGTCGCAGATGAGAATCTGCAATCGGGAGCTCGATGATGGAGGACCATCAAAGCCTTATCGCTCGGCTTGTGGTACTTATCTGACGGCATTGTCCGAATAGCGAGTAAATGAAGATCACAAGCTGTGGGCTGCCGCAAAAACGAAACTTGTTCGATCAGTTCACGTTGGTCTGCCTGCGGCGTCGATTGGAGAACGATGGGCGGGTAGTTGAGCATTGTGGACAGGATGTGTGAGTTTCGGCTCAGGAGAGGAACTTCAGTTTTTCCTTGAAGACTCTCTGCCAACAGCCAAAACTTGGCCTTCGTGTGAAGATTGTCCACAACACCCTCGCCGAGACCTCGAGCATCGTCGTGACGCAATTTGCGCTCGAGCATCACCTCAAGATGACCGGGTGAGCTCGAAGTGACGCCGTGGGGATGGTTGGCGAGAAGCGTGAGACGGCGGGTATCGTCTTCGATGAACAGAGCTTCCGTCATTGGATAATAGTTAGCCTCGATCGGCAAAAGATCGTTCCGCACCCGTCGAACGATCTCGAAGCCGCCAGAGTCGGTGAAAAATTCTTGACCGGACGACACGTCAGACTTGATCGTCATGAAGAACTCAAAATATTCTCTCCGGATCGAAAGGTCGAAACTCGTTTCCAGTTCCACACCTAGCGAGAGTGGGCCCGTCGTGTGATATACTCTCGCTCTCTGCATGACCGTATTGGGATAAACGACGATCATCTCACTCATGACCGGGCCTCGCACGAGACGCGTCATGGGGAAACGTCCTGTTACGTTGAACGGTGGCGATCCGGTCTCAGGTCTGAACAGATAGGCCCCGCTGTGGAAATCGACTGATCGGTAGGCGCCGAAACTGAGGCCGACCGGCCTTCCATTCAAGTGACTCAGGAGGCCGGTGTGGGACGAGAAAACAGCATGTAGATTATCATTCGTGAGCGATACGTCACCGTGTCCCGAATTCTCAAAATTGAAGAGGTGGCCGTTTGATAAAGTCGACGTGGCCGCATCGCCCCACGTGTCTGACAGAAAGAGTTTCACGCTCACTGCGGGGATTTTGGAAGTCTCTCCGGCGGCCAGTCCATGGATTTCGAAAGTCGTCGTCGATAGAGGTGCCAGGTCTCCGATGAACACGAGCTCGTACATATCCGCATTAATTTCCGCACTGTACTCCCAGATTGGATTCAGCTGGAAGACGAATTCTTTGTTTCCTGGACCGACGACTTTCTGGACGGGTTGTGTGACGACGCATCGAATCACGTCCTGGACGACGTGACCGTGACTATTGTACACTACGAGTACATTCGGCTGTCGCGGGCTAATTCTGAGCGGCATCCGGACCGGGAGCGTTTCGTACGACTGCTTCTTTTCGCTGAATTGTAGATACGTCGAGAAAGGTTGCTGAGAGGAGTTGTTTGCTCCCAGAGGTTGATATCGAGGTTTGTTCTTGACCTGTAGGTACTGAACCAGATGAGCGATAATCGATTGGACGTTCGTGAGAGCCACGAACAAGCGCGCTCCGTAGTCTTTCATGACGAAATCTTTCGACGTTCCGGTCACGGCGTCGTGATGTTGGAAAATTCCAAGCTGGTTCCGCGCCGTAGTCAGCGCGCGGTAATCCGCATCGAGTCGGGACCGCAGCTGCTCATTCCCACCGCTGAGGAGGCTCCGCCTGGGAAAGGGGGAAAGTAATTATCGGCTCCTAAGAGTCCACTGCATCCGAATATTGTTGAGGGAAAATCTGCAGAAGGGAAACTCACCTCCCCAAAGTGAAGAGAATCTCCGCTGCGCGCAAGTAATGTTGAACTTCTCGTGACAGTTGTTTGAGGAATGGTCGCGTCGTGTAGTAACCCGTCCAATAATTGGGCAGACCTTCGGAGTAGACATCGCTGTACGGCATGAAATCCCCCGAAAGTTTCGGAAACTCCTTCTGGCGTTTGTAGACCTCGTTCCAGTAGTCAGCCAGCGTTCCGAATGACATATGAGCGTCACCGAAAACCGCGCTGTGATCGTTCACGTAATTGATGATTTTATTGTAGTTGTCGTATTGTTGCTCCCACTCCAATGAGTGATCGAATCTAAAGTCATCGCCCAGCAGGACCAAAGCGATGTTGTGTTCGAAGAAGGATGCCAAGCGGCCATATTGACCCAACATCGCTGTTGCTTGGCTGTGGATATTCTTGTCGGAGACCGGTTCGCTCCTGCTCTCTGAGTATTCTCCAGAGAGCCTACGATAATCGAAACGGAGACAGGTCTGTAGAGGAGAGAATCTTCCTTATTCGAAATCCGCCGAGACATGGTCAGCAGGGATCGCTATAATCCTGAATTCATACCGAAGCCCCCCTCGCTTGTCATTGATGCTCATACCTGTTTGTCAGGCCCACAAGCGTGCTTGATCGAGTAGAGATCGAATGGGGCCATGTGGCACATGATTGCTTCTGGCGATGCGGTCTTCCTTTTGAAAATTGTTTCCCAAAGAAACTCGAGCTGCCGTCGATCGGTCAAGAGACTGCAAGTGGGATATGATTCCGAATTTAAATCCAGTCCAGCAGAGTTTCACTCGCTGGAAATCTCTACGATCGCGAGCAGTGACGGTGGAGGATGAGGATTATACTCACAACTCGGTGCTCACCTTTTCCACGCATAGTGAGTGCGTTGGATGAACGTGTTGTGGATTCCAGAGCGTCTCAGCAGGTAGGGCACGGCGTTACCGTGGCCGAAAGGATCGATGGACCAGCCGTTCTTTGGCAGGGCCTTCTCACCGAGATGGAAGCGGATCCATTGATGACCTTCGATCAATTGATCCAGCATCGCATACAAATTCACTCCAGCCTCATCCGTCATCACCCACCCGCCGGTCAGGAGCTCGAGCTGACCGCGCTCAATGAGATCCACGACCTGATGGAGAGCGTGAGGATCAGCGGTATAGGATATTTGCTCTCGCAAGGACCCTTGCCCGAATCAGGCAGCCAGGTCAGAATTCGCCTGAGAGATTCGGAACCGCTAATTGGTCGGCCGAGTGAAGTGAGGACATCATATATAATGTGGAAAGTACCTGGGGTTTCGCATTGGGTCGATTCTGTAACCTTTGCCACCAGCGGGCGAAGAGGGACATTTCGGACCAAACGAACTTGAAGTCCTGGTGAGAACTCAAGAACGCAAGCATGTTGTCTAATATCGGAGCCGTCTGGCGTTGGAAGTAATCATCGAATGTCCGGAGCCAGCCGGGGTCGTTGTGGGAGTGCGGGACAACTATGACCTGCGAGAATAGCACGCTTGGAATGAGTGAGCACGAGCAACGTATTCAGATGCTGCGGAAAATCACCGTCGGAATGATCGAACTGACCTTCAAGGGAGGCTTCTGAGGATCAGACTTGATCTTCAGATAGCGCTCTTCCCATTGAGAGTTCCAGAAATTCATATCGTATTTCGAGAACTCTAGGGTCTTATAGCTTTCCACAGTGTCGATGTCCACTTTGCTTTTGGAGAGTTTCGCTGAACAGAAGTCTGACTTCCTCTTGGGGGATTCGAAGCTGGAAAACGGACAGAGATGATACACTCATAGCTTACGCCGACAGAGAGTGGCTTCCCAAGTGTCCCGATGCACCATGGAAACCCTTCGCCACCAATGAGTGCTGCTCTCGGACCGAGCTTATGATTTTCCAGGTAAAACTCACTCGATTATCGGGGGGAGCGCTTTCGTGGAGCTCTCCTTGCTCGGCGGATCATCAACCCGGATCGCGGTGAAAGAAACCGGGACTTTCTCCACTGGCTGGTCCAGAGAGCTGCGACATGGAAGACACACTAGTATCAGACGGGGTCGTGGAATCATCCGAAACTTATTTCATCCGAATAAGTTTTCGTAATAAATGGTAATAAATTTTCGTGGAATCATCCGAATGCTAGAGGTGTCGCTACGGAAAGTCATTTTGTCTTACAGGCGACCGGTGACTCACTTGGGATCGACGATAGATTCCGGCGGCTGTCGATATCCATCGGACTCTGATTTTTTCGGTTCCTCTAGCCTTGGCGAAGCGTACCAATCGCGTAAGCTGGTATTTTGGTATTGAAAGCATAGGATCAGAGTGGCCACAACCAGCAGGATGAGCAGAACGCAAAGGTTCTTCGGTCGTAGCAGCGTGGACTTCATCCCTTGAGCAATGACGTCGGCACGATGAGGATCACCCACTTGCGGTTCGAGCTGGTCGGAAAAAAAGGAAGCGTGAGTTCTCAGCACGATCGGAGCCACTACCGGAGAATCACATCGGACTCGACCTCCCCGTTCGGTCTACTCATATCCGTCCAAGAAATACTCATCAAGCGCCCGAATCGAGTAGAGGCATCGCATGCAAACGGGATCAGGCGCTGGAGAATATCTTCATCTGATAGGAATTCCAGAAGGCCTTTCCTTTTGTTTGAGACCGGGCATATGTCCCCCGAGAGAAAATTACCGAATAGCGATGAAAAGTCCCCACTAAAAGCTCGAGTGTGAACACACGAGAGCGAGAATCCGACGAACAAACTGGACCGGAAAAAATCAAGAGGTCCGCGTTCGAGGACTGCATCCATTATAGAACGCTCCGTACCGAACGTGAGCGACTAGGATGTCATCAATCAAGACAGCCTGCTCGCGTCTCGCTCTCGCTCATCGAAACTTTCGGCGATGAAGAAATATCCTTTCTCCAAGTTTTTTCAGCCTACGACCAGTGCCTCTTCGAGGAAGAGCATGGTAGATCGCGAGCGGACATTCACAAAGCTCGATTCGTCCTGAACCCATCTTGAGTCAACTCCATTCGCTCGGAATGAGAAGATTTCGATTCCATTCGAGTGTCGAATTGCATAGAGTTCATGCTTTTCTCAGCGGCTCGCCCATACCGCTCCGTGAACGCTTGGTTTCCCTCGACAGAACGGCGCGAGCTGTCGAGCGACAGGGTTCATGGTCCAGAAGGGAGAAAGGAACGACAACGCAACGGGGCTTCGATGAGAAGCGAGCGAGCCACGAAACATGTGAAGTACTCAGAAGCCGAGGACGGGACAGTAGTGACCGAGTTCGGTCAGCCGGGATTGCGACGGGGCAGGAGTGACAATGTCGAATATCAGGACTGAGTGAGGCGGACGGCGCACGGCCGGTCTCAGAAGACGTATCGAGCTGTTCAACAATTCAGGACCAGCTGGACCTCTCGTGAACTTTCATTGCGATTGCATCGAACAAATACGAATAACGCCCGTCGAGCTTATCTGGCAGCTCGGATCATGCTTGGTCCCTGGCTCGGTTACGTGGTCCGCTTCCGCAGCGCTAGGAAGTCGCTTCAGAATAGTTTTCCTGATTTGGGTGGAAGCGGACATCAAAACCGGCTGAACCTAAGCTATCAAGCGTTCACCTGCGCGGACAGCGGAAACCAATTACAGCAGGCTCCGACAATGACGGCACGTTCACTAGAGGAGGCAGCTCCTTTCCACGGACCTCGGACAATTCCGAACGAGTCAGAGAGGTGAAATGAGCTGCCCGTGTCGTCGAGGTTCGTGGAATGACGGACGGCTCTCATGCTTGAGCGAATCCACGGAGGAGGAAATCAGAAGATTCCGTCCGAGACGCCAAGAAAATCTTCCTTCACTCCGGACCGCCTCTTGTATGCCGGCGCTTCAATCTGGCCCGTGCTTCCGGGTTCGATTGCGGTCTCATGAGGCATGACGATGAACGACCGATTTGCTAGTCAGCTGTTCACCGCATCAATCGCCTATTGATTTCCAGATGAGTCGGAAATCGGCTGAGGCTTACCTCCTGACTACTATTTTGAAGTTCGAGCTTGCCTGTATACCCCTCATTCGCGAGAAGAGAGTCGTCGTACACACTTCGAATCTTCCATGCCTGATAACCCGTTCCAGCTGCGTTCGATTTCTACAGCATGAAATCGACTCCAAAACTCTTGTGGACCCTCTCACAGTGGCTCGCTCCGCGAATCTGCGTGGAGCGAATACGTTCAAGTTCCGGAGTTCCTGAGCGGGAGATGTCGGAGGGCGCCAGGAGGCAAGAGCGGGGGAAATCTCAGGGGATGATCTCTTATTGGAGACATTGGGTGACTTCATGACTTCATGACTCCTCCCCAGAAGGGGTCGGAGGGATGAAATTCGATGCTATCTTATATATTGTGATAAGTATCTGGGGGGAATGTCACAGTGATAGCGTGAGCGAATGTGAGCCCTCGGATCTATTGCAACCAGTCCGAGAGCAAGCCGCTCAGCGCAAAATCATCGGAAATCGTCAAGATGGGTTAGGAGAAGAAATATTTCTCCTTTGACCGAAAATCAGAGCGGGGGCGCCCAACCCATCTGTTCGTCTTTTGGGAAGCTCAGGCTGCGAAGCAACAACTATGTTTTCAGGTTTATACCAACCCATTTCTCCAGGTGATGAACTTCACCGGATAGAGAATCAAAGGTGTCGATCCGTGCAACAACTGTCACTCAATCCACTGGAGAGGCAATGTCGCCCACAGACCGACGATGTTTTCCTCTCCCGCACTGCTCCTAGCGGAACCAGCGAATGTCGACTGTCAGAAGAGAGGGAAACACATTCGACGGCAGACGGCGCGGATTCGACGGCGGCTAGTCTCGCAATCGTCAAGATATCGACGAACGAGGGAATGTCAATCTCCTGGAATGATGAGGGAACACATCACATTCATAAACTCCGTAGGAACGATGACGAAGGTGAGGGGACGAAACGGAGTGATGGAATTTACCTCGTATCGAAGTCTCTTATGGGGAGAGGCGGCTGACGGCTGATCACGGGAGTCTGACGATGATGATCTCTGCTTGAAAGAAGCAAGGGACCAGGTCCGCACCTCCACACACCACACAGGCGGGTGCATCTGCCTCCCCTGCCTAGACTTTTCTTCTTGGAAATTCGGTATGTCCTGAATTCCGACGCTGGTTGGTTCCGAATTCGGGAACTCCCGACGCAGGAATCCGGAAAGAGGGGTGTATGCGTACGATACAGGTGGAATATGAACCGAAATCACATGCATCCGAGCACTAGCGAAGGAAATGAAAGCACGGATCAGATAGGATGAACTACCTCAGCGATCGCGTCGTTAGCACGCAGAGATGTCTCACGCGCTTTGGTACGACCTTCGGGCGCTAACCGGCCGTGACAGCCGACCGTTCCCCCACCCCCCCTGGATCCGCCACTGTCCATGACCTCGTCCTGCAGAGCGGCCAATCCAGCGGTCAGCAGATGATTCGCCGGCTTCCCGGAGAGCCTGGATGATCTCGATGCGGATGTCTTTCGCGGAAGTATCTCCCAATGCAGAGGTGGCGGTACAGCGACCAAGCTGACCTTGAATACGTCCGTCAGCTTCCTCGGGTCTCCGTAGTATGGCCTGAGATCGGGAATACAGTGAAGCCTCGTTTATGTGATCTCCCTCTGCTCGTTCTCGATATTATACACTCTGATCATGCCAGCCTCTATTATATAAACATTTTTTGGATCATAGGACCGTATCAGAGTAACTCATTGGCACGACTGCCGCAAGTCGTAGTTCACGAAGTTCGTGTTGCCGTCGCGCGAACCCTCGACGGGGTCCTCGTCGCTATAGCTTCCCCTGATGGGGACCCGCCGCGGGGACTCTCGACGTTCGCTTCGCTCAGATGAGACCAGAAGGCCTCACTCACCGGAAACCACATCCGCCAGAGACACCTCGTCAACCGTGCAAGTAGAAGATTCATGCAAACCAGTGACGGGTTGTCCGGTAGCGTGCCCGAGAGACCGATTATCCCGCTTATCCGGCTTAATTTTGATCATGCTCCTGACCGAACGACAGTCGCTCATGCAGAGAGGGGCGATGAGGTGACTCCCTTCTCTCTTCGTCGAGAAATCACAGAGATCGCTTCCCAGTGAGATTCCACCATTCAGCGGATCTTCCGAGATCGATGTTCCCCACTGGGAGCCTGATAATGATCCTGGCTTATGTTTGGCTAAAACTCAATTTTCTGTATGAGCGAATGCTCATGCCCGGATGAGACCGCTCCAAGTTCACTCGGAGCCTCGAAACCTGCGAATCTGCTTGAACATTTCAATGCCCCGAGGTGTGACATATTGAGGCATCACGCTTGAGGATGCTTCGAAAAGTCTCTTCCCAGAGAGGTGGGCATGCCGGTTTCCTCCGCTCTACGATCTGAATCCGGCCCTTTCTCCCGCTGTGGGACGCAAAAGCGCCCTTAGTAGTTAGATGCGCGTACAATATACAGGTGTTATTGTGTATTTTGAAGGAAGAGGCGCTCGTTTTCTTTTTTTAACTAAAATAAATGTATTTTCCGATGGTCACGCTTCGTTGACCTATGGATATATCGACGACTTCCGTGGGGCGGTTCCGCGTTCTTTCTCTCAGGGTTTGTCCTTCAAACTGGCTTTCGACAGCGAAGAGACGTCCATTTGCTTCAAGTCTTTGAGATGCTTTTCGACGATGTTCTTCACGTGCGCGACAGACTGATGATCAAGTCCGGCCGCGTCATGGCTGGGCACGCAGTTCTCGGGTTGGTATGGAGGCTGAATGCGAACCGAGTTCATGACAAGAATATCTCGATCATGCCACGTGACCTCTTCAATGCTGGAAACGATGAACACAAGGTTAGGGAAATGTTCGGTCGAGGTGCTTGTTTCGGATTGCGGACACTTGCGATCTGTTCTTACGTTTTCCTAATGGCCAGGAATAGGCTTATGCCCTCTCCTGAAACTCCTTTCGCGATCGCAGCGGCCATTTTCCTCCGCTCATCATTGTTCTTCTTTATGCGAGCTCGAACCTTCAAGAAAATGAAAAAGTTAAGTCACGTATGCGGACGGAGGCTGGCTGAGCCGACATGAGCAGCCGTCGAGGCTGGTCCTGGTGATCTAAAGTTTCTCTCATTCGGGGGCGGAACTAACCTTCTCGATGTTTATTTGTGCGGGAGGAGACGGAGCAGTCGTTCCTGCTTCCGATTCGATATTTATATTAGTCACACACAGCAAATTGACCACGCGGACATCGTTGGTCTTACGGTCTGCCGTCTGACACTCTGAAAATCCAAAAAAACGGAAACTGATAAACTCTACCGTCTAGAGGATGGGGAACCTCATTCGATAGAGAACGTTGAAGCCATTCAGCGTTCCAGGTCGAGATATCGCTCCATAACAGAAGCCTCATGGATCAGCATTGTCATTTAAGCAGCTAAGCAGCTAATTTAAGCAGCTAAGCAGCTAATTTAAGCAGCACTTACTAAGAACAAGAGCTTTGTGCTCCTCGTCGAAAGCGATCACCTCGCCTTGGAATCGTTCCTTGCAAAGGTTCTCCACAGTCACAACACAGCCGACTTGGAACAATTCTGGAATGTCGGCGGCCACGGAATTCGCTCCTCCACCCCCGTTGCCCCCCGCGCTGTTCATCCCGATTCCGAATTCTCCTGAGGCGCTCATTTTAGTCGTTCGAAGATTATTGTCCTCAAGACAACCAGGAGAGTGTTCAAAGGTTCGATTATCGTTTTCACCGGTGCCGATGAATGGAGTCGACTAGAGTTCTCAATGCACTGGATTCCGTCCGATGGCCCCACTGTAGAATGATCGGCCAAAGCGAAAAGATGAACGAATCGCGATCGAGAACGAGGCAGACTCTCGGGTCCAAAGTTCACAAAGCCAATAGACCGGTAGTCCTCAACACGATCTAGAGACAGGAATCTTCCGAAGACAGTGAGGGTTCTCTCAACAGCTGCTTCGGATATCGTCCTTCGAGTCCTCACGGGCAGTGGTCGTGAAGTCACCAGAGTCACTCAGATTTTTTTCGCGGCCATACCGTCAATGGAGTCCCATGCACGCAGACGATAAATGCTGATGGACCTTCGATTGAGTTTCCCAGGAGTGTTCCCCTGGCAGACACACGTTGGATCGATGGATCGATTTAATTATCAATCAGTCGATCAATTCCACATTCGAGTGTACCGGAATCGTTGGCTCGGTTCAGCACTCCTGTTGAACGGTCCACATCACATCAGAAGATTCTTCGAAGAGCTCAGGAAGCCGCATAGACCGCAGTGCGGAACAGACAAAGCTCCCTCGCTGAACTCGCGAGTCTGCCGCCTGTCGATGGAGCGCAAAGAGCGATCCGACAATCAGTCGGCAATAGACGGAGAGAACGCCGGTCCTGTCGTTCCCTTGCGAAAGGTCCCGCGACAAGGTCTTCGTCGGTTCGAGTTGGAAGTTTTGAGGTCGGGTTCGAGCTCCTGCCGATCGCGGAGCAACAGCGGAAGTAACAACTGAACAAGCGGAACACAATTATACACAATCAGATCCTCTGCCAGAAGTTGTGCTTCTCGCTTAGCTGCCGAGAGTCCGCCGAAGACACTGAACTCTTTTCGCCTTCTCTATACGATGAAAGCTCCGTACCGCACCGGGGAAGCCGGACGCACGACCAAGGGAGCGGTGAGTACGTTCGACGATGTGGTGAAAGGAATGAGCTTCTACCACATCCGCACGCGCTCAGACACACACTGCAGTAGGCAAAGTACCACCACACCACCGCCGTTCTCTGACGACGACTTCAACACCACCACCACGACGTTGATGATGATGATTGTTCACTCGCTCGACCAACCACCAACAAGCGAGCTGTAGTAGCAGTAGTAAGCAGGCAGCGGTGTGAAGAAGAGAGTCGTCTGTTCCGAGACACGGCAAACCCACACACGGACTTTTTTGTTGCCTAGCTTCCTCTCGGCGATGATTCTCTCGTCCACGCTCCTTGTTGTGATAATCGTGGTAGGAAAAACCCGCGAAAATCCGTCGCCACGAGTGGATAACTTCGAAGTCCACACAAGATCTTCAGATGGGCTGCGAGTGAAGTCAGTGCTTGTTGCTCGTAGGGATTCTCATAGGCGTTCTCGAATGATTTTCTCAGTCCTTCGTCTACGAATTTATATCCAGGAGCTCCGGGATGGGGGGTGGAACTCTCTCCCTCAACGAGAGAGGCCCACAGAAGGGTTTCAGGGTGGTTTCCGACCCGGAACTTGAACTCCGGCTATTGAAGAACGCCACATTCCAGAGATGCGGAAGACGATGGAGGGTCTTGAGCCCCCTCCTCGATACAGCCCGGATCACGGCTGCGGAATGAAGATGGGAGCCTGATTGGAGAATTATTGTAGATTGCTCTCGTTAACGGAACATTCGACACTGATGCGGCTTGGAGTATTCCTGGACGAACTTCTATCGAAGACTGCGTAGCGAACATGGGTGACAAGGATCGTCCGATCCAGAAGCTCACGATTTCGGTTATCTGATCGGCGTCGATGCGTGGTCGGTGCGTCTGCTCACGACAAAACCTAAGCGTCGAATCTCTGAAGAGATTCTATCATTGTATTTCGAAAAAGATGTGAACTCCAATCAAGTCTCTGCCTATAGTCTCTTCTCCTCGCAACTGCCCATGCTATTGAGGGATTGCAAGCTGGATGGGGGATTGGATGACTTTGATGGCTGTATCGCGATCGGAACTTGGCTTTTCCTCACGTATCCTTAGTCTGATAATGGACCCGAGCCCCGGAACCATGCTTATTTGTTTGTAACTCCAATTCGGAAGATTCTCGTCATGAATGATACGACGCGCCCCAAGTCGATGTGCGACGACGAATCAGGTTGTCATGCTGCCTGACACCCGTTGAATCGAGAGCACCGTGAAAAATATCGCGGGAGCGACCAGAGTCTGCGAATGCTGTGGGAGCCGGAAAAGAGGCTCACATCAGAGACTGGTTGATATCCACGGACTTGCTGTTTTTACGCGGTGTAAATCGAATATCCGCAGATCAGAAAGTATGTTGGGAGATTCACACGGTATCCTTGTCGCCAAGATTGAAGTTCTGCTACGACGAGAGCTCCGCGGACTTATCGACTCAACCCTAACCGATCGATCTTATCGTTAGATCGTTAGGGTTCCCAGAAGGCAATATAAAGGAACAATCAATCAATCAATTGAAGGGAGACAGAATTATTCTGCGGTAATCGATTCAGGCAGTTTTTATTCCGTGTTTTCGGTGCCGCCGATGAGAGAGTTTCGGCGGATGCCGGGAGAAGACTTCGATACGTGGCTGTTTCGTATATACTTCCGTCCAGAACAAGAGAACCAGCATCTCGGATTCGAGAGCATCTCTTGTATCCGATTTCCATATAGGCGGTTCCGATGGTATCGAGCCGTATCGCCCTCTCACTGATCCTATCATTAATCGGCCAACCAATCGGGGAACCGTAAAATCCGTAAGTCACTCGGTCTTCCAAGAGAGCTCCGTATTTCGAATCGTTCTCGAAACAGCTCAGAGGAGCTTCTTTTTGCTGGAGAGATCGATGCTTAGACCCAATGGCAGCTTACATACTCAGACTGCCCTTCGCTATCGCGCGCAACCTGATATCTTACTTCTTCACGGTATGTATAGAACCTTTTTTCGAATTCTCCGAACTTCCCAAGTAAGTATTCAGCGCCCGATTCTCTTCTCAGAAAGTCGTGAAATTCGAAAACTGGTCCATCGAGAATGGTCCCGCGGGAAAAAACCCATCCGCTTCCCTCGACCCTGTTCTCTCTGAACGCGCGTCAGTGTCTTCTTATTGCTATGCATCTGATGATGGAGTCGCTCTGAGGCGTGATATGGTGAGACTCTCTACCTCGTCGAAGGTTGCGAGGTCGTAAAGTTCCAGAGAAGAAATTCCGAGCGATAGATTCTTCTAGAGTTCTAGAGTCTAGAGGGTGCCTCCTCCTCCCTCCTCCTCTATGAAGCCCCAGTTTTCTACCTTGCAGATGAATGGCTCTCTGAGCAAATCCTGTTTGTCGCTTGACGGTGCACCCGAGCTAGAGAACTATGAACTAATTAAGGTCATCGGTCGAGGCTCCTATTCGACAGTGTTCATGGTCGAGCACAGATCAAGCCAAGAGCTCTATGCCATGAAAGTCATGAGCAAGCAGCGCGCCACTCGCGACGAATACCTCGACTGTATACGGACCGAAGAGCGAGTTCTGCGATTAGCTCTCTCTTGCAACTTCCTAGTAGGGCTTCAAGCCTCTTTCGAAAGCAGCAAACGATTCTATTTCGTAATGGACATCGCTCGCGGCGGCGATCTCATGTATCACATGCAGCAGGCGGGTCGGTTCGTGGAGGTCCACGCTCGTTTCTACTCGGCCGAGATTTGTCTGGCTCTGGAATTCCTTCACGGCGAGGGGGTGATCTACAGGTATTCGATTCATTGTGGGAACTCCCGAAAGACATGTCTTCGCTGATGTATATTTCCATGCGGTGATCGATGCTGATTTGCGGAATCGCAAGCATGCACCCCTGATTCTGACCAGTATCTCCCATCTGACGAATCAGATTGAAACGAAATACCATGATGCTCTTTGCAGAGATCTGAAGCTGGACAATGTGCTACTCGACCACGAGGGGCACGTGAAGCTCTGCGACTACGGAATGTGCAGAGAGGGGATCAGCGAGAACAATCGATCCGCGTCGACCCTATGCGGAACTCCCAATTATCTCGCCCCAGAAATGCTCTGCGGTCAAGATTATGCATTCGGCATAGACTGGTGGGCGTTGGGTGTACTGCTCTATGAGATGCTGGTGGGCCTCTCTCCTTTCAACTCTTGCGGTACGCGACTGAGAGAATTCTCATCATGTACGAAACGCTGCATCGACTCGAATCGAGATGGTGAAATCAAGGAGCTTCGTCCCGCAGGTGATTTGAATATCGCACAATGGGACCTTGATGAATTGATACGCGAGATTCTGTTCAAAGACATCATCATCCCGGATTATCTCTCCGAAGAAGCAAAGCTGATCCTGAGAGCTCTTCTGAAGAGGGATCCAGCGGAGCGGTGAGTTAAGACTCTGAGAAAGGGTTGAGCTTTCGCTGCCCCGGAAACGCAATCATGATGAAATCTGTTTATCTTCCTGTTGTCCCCAGCTTGGGCTGTCGCCCAGACAAAGGATCCGCCGAGATTCGCGCGCATTCGTTCTTCGCGGAGCTTGACTGGGATAAATTGTCGAAGAAATCAGTCGCTCCACCCTTCAAGCCCAGACTGAGCTCGAACCGAGACTCCAGGTGCTTCGACCCACGGTTCACATCTGAAGCCGTCGAATTGTCGGAAGACGAGGAATGGTAAGTTCTCGGCCCCTTTCCGAAGATCAAGTCCTCACAACGATGTCCTGTGACTTAATTTCTGAAGATGGCTGATATTTCCAGGCAAGATCGCGAATCACAGGATTCCGAGAGCTTCTCATCATTTGACTACGAAGCAGAGCTGTGCGCTGCGTGGCGAGATCGCCGGCGCGCCGAGTGTGCAAGTCCGCCGCCAGCCGCCACTGAATCTCCACGGCGCGGCGGCGGCGAAAACGCCGGCGGCGCGCCGTCGAATTCGGTAGTCAATACTGTGCATGATGCTGCTTAGGCGGCGGCAGAATGAGAGATTTCGACTCTAATTTCGACCTGAACGGAGGTTTTCAATCGCAGGAAATTTGTTGCGAGAAAAACGGTGTACTTTGGATCCAATAACGATGACGAAGACTCTTTTCATTCACGACAGCAAAAGTTTTTTGCCGCGTATATGACACATAGTTCCGATGTTGAGTTAAGGCATGCCCTTCCCTACATTGTTATTGGGGTGGAAAATAAATTGTAAATAATCGTCTCTCTGATATTATTCCCAGTGGCTATCTCCAGCGCCGAGGTGCGCCGCTGTAACGCCGCGGCGTGCCGCCGCGCCGGGTATTTCTCCCCCGCCGCCGCCGCCGTCAACTCTGGTCGCGGCGCACAGCTCTGCTACGAAGCGTATCCGTCAAGCGGGACGGGTGGTTCAGACCAAGAGTGAAGATTCAATGTTAAGCCCGCATTCTCTGAACTGACTGCTCTTATGCGATAAAACTGTAAAAACATGATCAAATGGTCTTTTCTTTGGATATTGAGCGGGGGGCGCGGCCCCGACGTAGACGCTAGCGCTAGGCTGAGAAACGATCTCGCGTGCCCGTCAAGCGAGAGGTCGGGTTGGGGGAGACTTAGGGGAACATGACCGTGAGACGAACCCGAACAGGGTCGCGCTGCCTGGAATGCGAGGAACGCGATTGGGAATCTTGAACTTTCGTATCCACGCGAGTCATCGCCAGGTGTCGATCGCACACAGCGTGCGGCTGGGAGGGAATAATCCAGCGTCGAGAGTTCTCTGCAGTGATTGCTCTCCCTCAGGAGCAGCTCCAAATCTGGCGTTGAGCTCGAGGCTGTGGAATTTCGCCGTAGGAGAGACGACAATTCTCACGAAATACGCTGGGAGAGCTCGGCGGGAACTGATTTTTTCCTGTCGTGACCATTCCCCCTCTGGAACATTGAGCAGACCGGATACAGAGAGTACGCATCATCGAACCTGCTTCATCCGTGGCTGCAGCGCTCATCACTCGAGATCCCCGTTGCTCTTTTATTCAAACAGCCAGGATAATAATCTTCTTGTACAACGCTAGAGAGCATGATTCTATATTCTGGGAATGGGGAAGTGAAGATTGCTGCCAAGAGAAGCAACGATACCACTGCGCATTGTCATTGAGGGCAACCTCGCATCCTGCTTCGCGTCTCGCTTAAGTTTAGTTTGTACGTAGGAGGTAATTGTACAATGTTGTATGTCCTTGATGTGGAGCCTCATCCCTTTCCGGCTCAGGTCAACCGAAAAGCTCTTTGACGAGCTCTTTTTTGTTCACCTGGGAAGCGTTGAATAGTGGGTCACAACTCCATTGCACGCTCAGCTCATGTGGATCTCTTAACCCTCCTGAACGATTGGATTACCTTGCCTAGATAATTCCTGTTGAGTTTTTCGACTGATTTGAGAATCGTTGGGGCCTGGTAGTGTGCCATTCTCTCTTTGCACCAAGCGCGGAGAGTTTCCAAGTCGGGGACCTGCAATCAGAGCAGATCAGCAGGAAGTGTTGAGAATGAAGCTATTAGACACCTTCTACGTAGGAACTCGTACCGTCGCTCCCTTCTTGAAAACCGCAATCGCGGCGACCCTCTCCCCCCATTCTTCGTCTGGGACGCCAACCACAACACACTCTTCGATGTCCGGATGCTGCATGAGATACTTTTCCACATCCAGTGCCGATATCTTGTAGCCTCCAGACTTCAGTATATCAGCAGAAGTTCGACCTGTCAGGAGGAATAGATCGAGTGTGACTTCCTAGGCATTCGGTATCATTCGAACGAGACACCGTCACGAGTACTCTCGGACCAGAAGAACCTGGGTCGTCTTGATAGTTGCTTCTGAACTTCCAATGGTAGCCTACCAAGTATCTTGTAGACGCCGTCCTCTGACACTTGAGCTTCATCGCCTGTGATGAACCACCCACATTCAGTGAATGTTTCCACTGTTTTTTCTTTCTTGTTCCAGTAGCGGTTGAATACGAAAGGTCCCCGCAGGAGAAGGTCTCCGCTGACATCTTGAAGGCAAGAACGATTAGGGTCTTGACCAGGAACCTCCCAGGGATATTTCGTTCTGCCCGACTCTTCCCGCTAAGAATCCCTCTTCCGCTTTTTCGGACGAGCACTTTGGAGAATTGAATTTCGGGCTTTCGTCGAGGAGTATCTATTCCATCCACGTGCGCCTCAGAGCAGGGAATCCGCATTGATACAATATACTTTCCTGGCATGCAGAGGAATCAATTCAGGAAGGCTTGGCCGCGCATCCAATAAATCCCGTGTATGACAGCTCACCTTTCTCGTAGATCGTTGTGCCGTTGAAATTCCCTTCGGCGATTCTCTTAACGATTTTTCGCTTCTCAATTTCAGCGATCATCGTTTCGGTTCCCCGAGTGGGGTATCCAACGCAACCTGGAATGAGCCCGAGAAATCGTCGGACCGAGAGGATTCATTTTACAGAATTCCTTTCCCTCCCTGTGCTCAGGTCGAGAGTGCGTGCAAAGGGGACTCGTACTAAAAGATCTCGGTTCGATCTCCATCGACGCGACGCACAGATCTCACGAGAGAATCGGGGTATTACCTGGGAATCTTTTTCCGTTGAGTTTATTCGATAATGGAATTCCCACTTCGGTCATTCCGTATCTTTCGAGAATCTCCATCCCGGTTATCTCGTGCATTCGATGATAAATCGGTTCCGGTAGCGAAGCCGACCCACTAATGAGGAATCTGCAAGGAGAGTACTGATTCAATCCGCACTGAGGTTTCCCGAGTTCCTAAATCGGGACGAGGTCAGGAACGACGCCGCATGACCGTCGCCCGAAACTCGCCGAAGCACTCTTATCCGGATCACGGTCCGACGTCTGAGGAGAACTCGGCCCAGACATTGGAAATGCGGTGGTCTTCCTTACGCTCTTGGGAGAAATTATGCTGACCTTATGTGCCTTTTTATGGCTTCCTTGAATTGACTCGGGTCGACTTTGCCTCGGAGACTTTCCTCGTAGTGAGCGATCAGTTTGACGTACATTGTCGGCACCCCCATGAAAATTGACACTGGATCCTCCCCGTTCGCCGTGATGAAATTCCAAATCTGGAAGAGTTTCATCGAATTGGGTCGGATACGGATTCGGGCTAGGAAGAGTTTCGGGATTCAGCGGAGCAGCGCTATGGAAGGCTACTGGGCTCAATTCGTCGGCAATAGAGGAGCTCACCCGCTTGGGATCGAATTTGGGCAACATTCGAATAGAGCATCCTGAGTACAGGGGTGTGAGGATTCCTGAAAGATTGGATGGAAGTCGCTGTAATAAGGGGGTGATGGGAAGCTTTCTTCTCTGAAATGAGCCGACATGGGTTTCTATCATACCAGATACGATCCCGTGCGTATGGTGCAAAGGCAGAGCGTGTAGCATGACGTCATCTCCGGTCCACTCCCAGGCGTCGCGTATCTGATTAGTTTGGAAGCGCAGGTTTGCGTGTCTGAGAACGACCCCTTTCGGTGGTCCTGTGGTGCCTGATGTGTACAGCATGAGCGCGTCGAGGTTCTCGAGGGCGTTCTGTCGGCAGAGATTGACAATTGAGCCGAGCTCTATTCGGCTTGCAGCAGTTTCGAACCCTTACTAAATGGAAACGGGAACTTCGAAGGCGGATCTCACCCATTTTGGTGAATCCTCCCAATCGTTTCCTAGGCCGATGGCATCCAAGTCTGGCAGGATGACGTAGCGGACTCCGGTGTTCTCGGCGAGCTCTTTCAGCTTAGGCTCGAATTCTTGAGTTCCTGGGGAAATAGGTCCAGAAAAAGGGGAATGATTAACATCCGTGCAGGAGACCTGGGCGATTTCCCGATCAGAGCGACTTCGCTCGCGCAACTAGACCAACCTAGAATAACACTGGCCTGGCAGTCTTTCACGTAGTATTCCATGAGATTCACGGGATGCTCATGGAATAGAGGAACGGCGGTGTTTCCCCCAAGCCAAATCGACCAGAGAGTTGCTACGAAGCGTGTATCGCCGGGGCAAAGGAAAGCGACGCGGTGGCTCTTCTTCGGGTCAGCTCCACCCTGAAAAATGAAAGAAAATCATTCCGCGCTTGTCCACCACTCCATCCGAACAAGGAGAGCCGGATGACAGCCTCCGAGTCGACGTCTCGTTCAAGGGTTACTTTTCACAGCTTGACAGTATCTGCTCCGAATTCCCCTCGGAGGGTTACCGCGACCAAACGGTATTACAATCGATCGCGCAGGCATTTCGCAGCCTCCGCGACGTCACGAGAGGCCCCTCTCCAGGGTTACACTTACGTCACCCGAGCGTGGAAGGCTTTCTCGCTAAACTGGAGAACCAGGGGAGGAGCGGTCCCTGAATATGCATGCAATGTATGAGATATGAGATTCACCGGAATTCACAATTCGACAGGATTCGCTCCATATTTTCTCAAAGCAGTCAGAGTCTGGAATTTCAGAGCCGAGGTGTCGCGGTTTTCTCGGGAAGACCCTTGATGCTGGAACTCAGTCAGCGCTCAGTAAGATCCATCGGCGTTTCAAGGCTCAGGTGGTACCTTTCAAGAGCTTAGAGAAGGTCATCGCGAGGCTGTCTGCCGCTGATATCGAACCACGTTCAGGGAGAAAAGTTGAATCAGCATGGTGCTATCGTCCGGGGCCGACTAGTCGCTCTCATTTCATTGGAGGCTTCTGGCATCAGGGATTTTTGTTTCCGGAAGTCCATCGACATGCTATCGATATCAACATCCAATCGAGAGACTACCGAGTGTAGGTGGGCACTAACCGCATTCTCCAGCCGTTGCCGGATGGCCCCTGCGACTTTGAAGACATCCGAGTATGTGTAGCTTCCGCGGTCGTCGACCACGGCTGTATTCTTTAAGACTTTTGACAGGTGAGACCCGAAGGAGGGCTCGAACTTGTCCGCGAAAACCGCACAGCTGAATTTCCGCAACAGAGGAGCAGAGCCTCTCCGCAAGCCTGAGAGACACTTGAACGCCAGCATGGTGCTCCTCAGATCGCGAAATCTGCGATGAAAACCGAGTTCGCCAATCCAAGACGGTGTTCCGATACCAGCTGACTGTTTCAACTCAGGGCTGCGGGTGAGACCCAGCGGTCACTGACGACGATGCCGGGCCTCTCAAAAACGGAGAGAGGGTCGAATGACGTTACGGCGCATGCCCGCTGCGGGAATTATTGTTATGATTGCCGTCAGGAAATCACGATAGGATCCGGTAATCTGGCGGGACTTACAATCCTGCTTTGCCGTATTGGGATCCCTCATGCCATCGTGCAGTCCGGAGTCTGGATCGATCTCATTCAATTACGCTATGGAATCGCTGGCAGTCCAGAGGGCGCCAAGCGTCGATCGCGGAGCTCCCGACTTGAGTCATTGCGCTATCCATCGAGGACAGAATCTTGCATCCGGGAAAGGTTCCACTTCAAGTTCCACAGCTGAGATTCGAGCGAATGCAGAGTCAGGGAGACTGGCTCACAGGATCTGAGGGAGTGACTAGAAACTTAGGGGGGGGGGGGCTCAAATTATAGGGAGGCTTTCTGGGAAAAAAGTTACCACCGGAAGCCATAATTCACGAAAGAGATTAATGATCTTGAACGGAAACGCTAAAAGGATGTATCCCATCACATGCTTCCCCATCGAGTGCTCGTCACTGATGCATGCATTCGTCGCGGAAGGAATTCCGGCTCCGACAACACCTCTCGGAATCTCGATAAATCAAAGGAAAATGACTATTTTGGTTTTCAATCTTTTATTCTCTCCACAAATATCTCATCTTCATATCTCCGTATATTTTCGTCACATTCGTCCTTTGATGCTTCGATTTTCCAATTATTCTCATTGTCATAATTATCTCGGTCCGCTTCGGAATATAGGTTTCTATCCATTATTATCTCTATACATCTGGATGGCTCGATGGAATTGTGAAATCTGAACGGATGAGTTTTGCAGTGCGCGCTATGAGCTGTTCGAGTTTGAGAAAACCGCATGAAGCGAGAGAAACATGGACTCTGTAGGCTTTTTCTCCAGCTCACTTCCGTTCCGCCTCCGTTTGGGTTTGTACGAAGAGATCCTTCCCGAAGCAGGGAGCCTTCGGAAGACGACGAGTTCTCCTAGATCACGATGAGTTTCGAAGCCTCGCTCGGATAATGAAGCAACTGTACATTTCCGCATGCCACGCCCGCCCGTTGACCGATGTCGCAACATCTAATCCATCATATATCCTCCTGATAGATATATGTTCCTTCATATCATGATTCGTGGTCTCTGTGCTCGACGCTATCGTTCACATCATGGTCCCGATATTTTCTCGTCGATATGTTCGAACAGGTCCGCTGACTCCTGAGGTCTCCGGGCGATGGCTTCAACGGCGAGCTCGGACCGATTCTGAATCAGGGGCATAATTCTGAATTCGGTCGAGGTCGGATAAATTTTCATCTATATTATCAATCATTCGAACCGCGAGAAATATTTTCTTCATCGGCCAAACCGATGAGGAGCGCGACACCGGCAGCGATAATTATGAATGATTCGGAAGGAATCTCAATGAGAGCACAACATCACAAAGGAAAAATAAGTTTCAAAGTCGCTATAAATTTGAGAGAAAAAATTATGCGATCGATGATTGCTTTCAACCCAAGCGACGGCTGACTAGGAGGGAAGGTTTGTCAGAAGCTATCGGATGCCGCTTCCCGTAACTCAAGACGCCGAATCCCGCGGGCTCTTCCTATTCTGAATTCACCTATCCTTAAACAACATCCCAATTCGCAAGAATAATCGAAAGTTGGTAGAAGCCAAGAAAGCTAGCACAATCAGAAAGCATTTGCGAGCCTATCGTGCGTAACCCGCTCCTTGAGCTGAGGGCAGCTAACGTCGGAGCCCATCATCGCAGAAGAGATCATAGCTCTCATGATCACTACCAGCCTAATGTGGAGCATGTGTTAACAACCGACCTGCTCGAGATGGAAAGCACTTTGTATGGGAAAAAAAATCAAGAGAAATTTCGGAAATAGGGGATGACTCATGAGAGAAAACGGCGCTAGAAACCGTGTCAGTCGTATTCCCCTGTTGAAGGAGCAAGGAATTTCCGCATTCTCGGCGGGATTTATGCCCGCCTAGGTCTCGTGAAGCCCAGACGAGGAGAATTATCAGCCCCAAACGCCATCATTAGAACTCCAAGGACATTGATCCGGTGAAGACTAGGATTGAGAAGGACGGTCTCCGGAGAATGTCTTCGGGGCATGTCATAAATATAGTCGAACACTTGATCACTCATAATTATTCACTTAGCTTCATCGAGGACTTGAACTTGTCTCAACTAGATCTCAAAATATCGCCCGCGCCGTTTGATATGTGATCGCCATTTGATAGATAGATTCCCGATTTCAAGAGTGCATTTGCTGTCAACAGAAGTGCAGTGAACAGCTGACGAGGTGGGGAGTCTGAAGAACCTGTGCATCGGTTCTCGACGGACGCTCCCCATTCAGGCAGTCGGTCGGTCGATCGATCGATCGCTTGGCAGATTTGTTGGCCACTTCCCGGGAAAGGGACGATATCGTGGACGGGTACATCAGTGGGACTCGCGGAGCTTACTCATAGGCAAATCACATGCTCCGCAGAATTTGAATTTCGACTCGATCCCGATGATTCTCTTTTTCGCACCTCATGCGTTAGAGTAGGTCGAGGGAATATTTGATTTGGGGCGCTGGCTTCTGGCGATTGATTCAGCACTCCAGGCCGGATACATGTCGGTGACCGTCGGAAGAGCTGACTCCATCGATTTGAATGAGGAATAGATGCGCGGTCGCACAGTCGAAGAACACAATGGACGGAGTCCGTGACTTTGTTAAGACGTTCCCCCGGGGAGCAGGATTGTTTGTTGGAGGGATTTTGGTTTGGTAATCTACGCTGCTGCTGCTGTCGTCGTCGAGCGTAGTTCGGATGTTTCCTCCAGAGCCGGGATTTTCCAGGCCCCTCACGAGCGGCATGGAGTGTCCCTCCGTTCCCTTATCGGTCGGCCGGCCGACCGAGCGGTCGCTAATATGTTTATTAGTTTGTTCTCCTGAACGAATGCGCTTATCTACGAAATGATCACTGTGGACCGTTTGGGTTGATGGTTGACATTCTCGAGGCTGGTCCACCGTTTCTCTTTGTCCTCGAGCACTTTGTCTTCGAGAAATCTCGACATGGCCTCGAGTCGTTGTGCGCGTGATCGGCTCAGCGGCTCCGGAGGAAACGCGATGGCGTTCTCCTCGGCCAGGGCCCGGAGTTCGAAGTAGTACTTCGCGTAGACGCTTGACGGAACATTGATGTTGAAGTCGATCAATTCCAACAGGCGTCGCTCGAGATTATTCATGTCTTCCACCTTGGTCTCTTTGAGTATGAGACAGTAGTCGACATTCCAAACGGCCTGGTCGTCCCAGACTTTCGAGGCGAGCAGTATAGAACCTAGAAGCATCCGTCTCCACGTGACAGGGATCATGTCGGTTTCGGCGTACGTTAGCAACCGTTCAAGATAGACAAGAGTGACGATGGCGCACTCCGCGCTGAGCAGAGCTGCATTGAACAGAGCTCGCATAAATCGGTAGATCATGCGATGATCGGGTTCGACGCGCAAGGCGCCAACGTCCTCTTTCATGATCGGGTATACGGATTCGTCGAAGATCTCGATAATTCGATTGGATTTCCTATTGCGGATATGGTAGAATATGGCGAGGGTGACACACTTGAGCGTGTGCTTGAGATTTGGTTGAGACAGTGTGGAATCGTCGAGGTAGATGGTCGAGCACGAGTTGGATTTTTTCAGTCGGGGGGTGCCTTGCACGGCGTGCGACTGGTACACTTCGCTCCGACGGTTGTTGCGGTTCTGCATGTCGCTCTTCGACCGTTGCATGAACATTGCGCCCTTGGTCGGATCCGTCGACGGGTCGATTTCGTCGTCGCATAGCTCACGTTCGGAGATGTGCTGCAGTGACACGGATGCTGAGCCGGACTTTTTCCTTGGCCGCCACCGGCCTGGCCGGACGACTGGTTTTTCCCGTCGCCGGAACCTCCGATGGAATTCCTTTGGTTCTTTTTATGACTTCGGCGCTGCCGGGTGCTCGGCGAGTTGGGGGCAGAACAACATGACAGCTGCCCTCCCATCGTTTATCAATGAGCAATTAGACGCCGGCGATCCTCACTGCCGAACAATAATTCGCATAGCGGAAACTTTCTCAGGGAAACATGCTAGACTCGCATGTTCTGCTGGCCACCCGCCCGCCAGCCAGCCAGCAAAAGAGCCAGCTAGCCACCCACCCAGTCACTAAGTCGGCCAGTTAAAACGCTTAGCCTCGCGTCCGACGATGAATCTTCCCCCTCGAACTCGCTGAGTCTCCACGACACGAGACTCCGTCGACGGGACCGCGGCTGGCAATCACGGGCTTGATCTGGAGCTCTCGTTCTATGCAGACAACCAGACCTTGCGAGCACACACCTTACCGCACTACGATTCGATACTTGAACAATGCCTACAACTGGTACTGCTCTGCTGCGGCTGTTTCAGCCTCTTCTTCGGATACAAACACAGGAGCACACGACATCCGTCGTTTAGGGGAAGTGCTTCGCGAACGCCGGCTGATCGACGGTGCTTTTCTTCAACGGCAGGCCCTACCGTGCAAGGAACGGAGCCGAGAGATCGGGATGACGGCTATCGGATTTCCCCGGTGATTTCAAGATCGCCCCCATGACCGTTATCGGGAAAACACACGTCGCTCACTTCACAGCTGAGCTCCCCGGGACCGATTGACAAGTAACTCGGGCTCCGTCGCTTAAGCATGTCTCACAGAGTAATTTGTGGGGGAGTCACGCAATGCGATGTCCCGAATATTTGCTCGGCCGGATTTTCTCCGTTTTTGCTCCCGAGTGCCTGAACATTCTATTCGCTCTGGCTTATGCTGGTTGATCGAGGTTAAAGAAGAATATAGCCAGAAGGGAAGCACTCCGCCAGTCTCTGGTAGATGACTGAATTGTCGCGCTGACTGTGCGCTTGACCATCATGGCGACGAGTCCGCACCAGCTCTCCGGTTCGCCGGTTGTGTTTTGGTGAGTGTGTGGTAAGGAAGTATGCTGCATCAGAATCAGCAGCTCCTCCTCTGACGACATCGTATTCGTGCGAATGTGTGCTCCGTTGAATCAGATGTTTTCCCCGGACAAATGACTGGGGAGTTTTCCTGCGGTGAATGAAGAGCTTTCCCAGTCGGTCAACGCGAGCCCGAAAGTTCTGAGTGCCATAGACGACTTTTGCGACCGAAGGAGGATGCCTCTTGAAACAGAGATGGAAAGTGCGACAGCTCAGAAGTTCTCTCAGCTGAGCTTCGACCCCGAGAAATGTGAGGATTCCGAAGACGACAGGTCACGGCTTCGCTGCCCGCGATATGAATTCGAGTTCCTATCGCTAGAAATCGCACTGCGATCTTCTTGGTGACGCCACCGCTCATCAGAAGTCACAGCAGTCATTTCCAAGTGACAGTTCTTATCAGCTCGCCGGAGGGAGAGCTCAAATCTTTCTTGAAGAAAGGCTGATTCGATTTTCCGAAAATTCGTTTTTGATTTCCGCCAGTCAGATGATCATGACTGTCGTTGAGAGTGACTATTCCCGTTCATACATCGCTTCATTTGGTCACCTGGCTGAGATTACCGGAGCTCTCCTTGGAGAAAACCCACTGATGAATGCTCGCTTACAGATGTGTCCAGTATCGTTCAACGAGCAGGGACTGTCGAGAAGATCCTTCAAGAAAAACAAGATGTCCTGAATTTACAAGAACAGACGAGTTACCAGCTGAAGAAAAATGTTTATGACAATTACAAGCAGTTCATCGACACTGCCAGAGAGATCTCATGTGAGCAAACGGCACTCCCCATCGCGTGCAGTCAACACAGAACTGATGCTGATCCTTCTTACGCTCATACGCTAGACCCGTATGATGTTTATTTCATACATATCCTGATCGATGGATCCCAGGGGCGACTTAGGACAGATATTCCATACGTTTCCAGATGTCGCGAGCGAAATGCATCAGCTCCGCGAGATGCTACACAAGCAAGAGCAGCTCCTGCATGGAATGACTGGACTTTCCATCGTACAGCACAAGAATTCCAACAAACTGCTGGAATTACCCGAGGAGCTCGAGTGCGACCCAGGGATAGATACACTCGATGGCTGCTACGGAGAGGATGATTTGTTAAAGCGTAAAGAGAACATCTCATTTCTGTTGGAGCGGGTTGAAGGCTGCGCTCGACTGCTCGACGGAAGCGAGAAGAACGTCTTGAAAACCGGCGAGGCCACGCTCGTGGAACGCGACGAGATTTCGAAAGTAGGTTTTCCGTCTTAATGCCCCCTCCGTGGAGATTTCCAGTTATTGGTCTGAAACGCTGGCGATCTTAACTCATATCCTAGTCTACGAACGAACGATATAATGGAATGAGTGATGAGTGATGATATTAAACGAGCCCTGTTCGAACCCTCCAGATCCAGCTGTGTCTGCTGACTGACTCCCTCCTGATCGCGGACTGTTTGCCAGTGAAACGAGGCACGATACAATATCGACTTCGCTGGGTTTTCGAGTTGGACTCGCTGGCGGCAGTGGACGGGAACTCATCGTCCCAGATGAAGATGCTCGTCTTTCCTCAGACCATTCTCCTACAAATGGAGTCTTTGCAGGTACGACGACTATCTATGGGAACGTCGCGAGTCATCTGCCCCGATAATTCGGGAAGGTGTAACGTAGACGATGGATTTGATGCCGTTCATTTCCTCAGGAGAAACTGGTCTGGATGGAAGCGATTCGCAAGGCGAAAACCGTAAAACTGACCCGTCAGGCGGTCATCAACGCTCGTATAAATTATCCGTCTCTCGCGTTAGCCTTGGATCAAACCGATTCTGTCGAGGAAGACGCACTCATTCCTGAGTGGCTGATCGAACTCCCTGATGAACTCGACGTATGCATCGCCGAGAGGAATTTCGAGCAGGCTGTCGAATTGTTGCAAAAAGGTTCGTGGAGCTTCCCTTCTCTGAGGGTCTAACATGATTCTGTACTCAAAACGGTCCGGAGCCAACACAGTTCGGCGACAACATAGAGTCGGCAATAGTAACTGATCCGAATATATGTCCTTCACAGTCAAGGAATATTGGCCCTCCCAAGAAGGTTACTCCTGTAGTACCGCGAGGGACGTCAGGCTGAGGATAAGCAATCGTCAAGAACAGCTGATCAAGGTCAGACCTCAATATGTCTCTGAGCCGCCCTTGATTCCCTTCAGCCCCTTGCAGACGTCGGGGGTCGGATTGCTCATTTTATACATTTTTTCCCTCTTCCTCGATCGCTCAGGTTCTTTGTAGCGAATTGAGTGTCGGCGTCTCGCTGCATGGCGGGCCTCGAGCCGCCAAACGCGCAGTGAAGTTGTTGATAGAACTCGGCCAGACCGCATCGGCGAGTCGATTATTTCTCGCACATAGAGCCGTTCTGCTCCGGACAGCGACGAAAAACCAGAGCCAGCATAGCGAGGGTGCCGTAAACGCTTTTGTGAAACGCGTCTGCGGTGCCTTCTTCAATCATGTTGCCGAAACTGGACGCCAATACCAGAGAGCCTTCATATCCCACAGTCCTGCCATTGCCTCCGGTGAGTGCTAGGCTGCGGTTCGAACGATACTCGAGTCGAGAAGATGCCCCGTCGAAGTCGTCGATCATCTGAATGAGAACACTGAGTCTTTCCGTAGCGCTCGTGAGCTGGTGTTGCGCACAGCTAGATTGGTTCGTGCATCTGCTATCGAGACAACTGTTTTCGGCTCAGACATCGCTGGCCACGGTCGCGGAGGCCGTGCAGACCTGTATAGCATCGTGTGGTCAACTCCAAGATATCGGTAAAGCTCCGGAGAAGCAGGTCTAACTAAATGTACTAGAACGTTGATGTACCGAGACCGATATTGCGCATTCTCTACTAATTCCCCTCTGTCCGAAAATATCAGGTCTAGACCTGGGTTTCGTCATCCTGCGAAACTTAAGGAAAGAACTCGGGAGGAGCATCTCGGATGGACGAGACAAACTCCTCGAAGCCATACGGCATCGGTCAACTGAAGACACTTGGAAGCCACAGAAGGTGATACATTTTGAGCTCTACTTCCTTCGCTGATCTGGCCCGTTCATTTTCGACGTCGGAATCATTTTGGACCAACCCTCTTTCCGTTGCAGGTTGAAAGCAAATGGCTACAGTCACTCGAGAGACATGGATTGGATCTGAGTGCCTATATTTACGACGAGAACATGACTTACCTCACTTCGAACACCGTGGCCTTCACGAAGTCTCTCCTCCATTTCGTGAGCGATTTGATGGCTCTCTACACACCGCCGTTGCATCGACTCATGGTCGATAGCGTTTGTGAAGCCGTCAGAGCTCATCGTCGTCACATCGCCGCTGCTTTTTCAGCGACCAAATTGAAGTCGGACGTAAGTGCAATTCACTGAGATTCCGATGTGCCCTCACGGGAGCATGTCTTTCGACTTTCCGAGACCACTGGGTTTCCCCGCGCCTCCTCGAGAAAAAAGGAGGTCTGGAACAAGTCGTCTCTACCTTCCGGAAATTAATTCATGATTCAGTGCACCACGCTTTTAACAGGAAGTCCCGCTTGCTTTGCAGCAAAAGTTCATCCAACGTAACGAGAGCTTCCTCCTGAACAACGTTGCGAAAGCGATCGAAAAGAGATGTTCCAGTTCACCGCAAGGAGTTCTGCTATGGCCTGAGATTCAGTCAGCCTTCGAGGGCAACGCACATGGATTCTAATGTTTCGAAGTGAAAGCTTTATCGAGCCGAAATCCCTCCAAGACCATCATATGGCAAATTTATGACAACGGTTTAATGTTCAGAGTTAATATACTTGCGGATGCAATTGCGAAGACAAATACAATAAATATGCCGGAGCAGATGGTGGAAAGCCCAGTAAGTGATGGTGATCGCAGTTTTTTGGTGGCTTACTGCGAATCCAGAGCCATGAACCATGAGCCTGTTCCCCGAACCCTCGTTGTACGAAGTCCGCCGTGCTCCTCAGGAACCCGAGTTTTGCTCAATGCGACTCACAGTGAATCGATCACACATCCCTTCCTTCATCACCTGAATGGTTCTGAAAAGGTGGACGGCTAATTTTTTCGGAGGCGGGGTTCATGGACTCCCCCCAATGAAGAAAAGCACGAATTTCCAAAATATGTCTTGTATTTTTTTCGAGACTTTCCACTCATTGAAACCCTCAACGCACCCATGAGAGCTCTAGGCGCGACCCGGCGAGAGGCAGAGCATTTCCGTAGAAACGGCAAAAATATAATATTATCCCAATTTTCTAGTTTTCTATCAACTCCGTCCGGAATAGTGAATATTCATCATATCCTGGTAGGATGATGTCCCTGTGCGCCGAACAAGACATGTTTCGCTCACTCCCCACGACAACAGCGGATAACCCAACGATGATTCGCTGGCAGGGTTGAGCGGATTGAACTATTCGAAAATTGTAACATCACAAGGTATAAATTCCCTATCTCTAGGATTCTGAACTCCGAAGCTGACAGCAGCGCGGCTTATGAGTTCCAGATTCCCTTCGACCTCCGTCCGGTCACCGACTGACAATTATCGTCCCATTCGAGTCCGATTCCATGAATCTCCGCATTGCACAGATTTTCTGGCTGATCACGGACTTATCACTGCTCGGCCAATTCTCGCTCAACCATCTTCCTGTATTCGTCGAATCCACCCTCGACGCTACGGACCGTTCCCTTTGCGCAGACCCAGAGCTCTTTGCAGACTGTTTTCACGAGACGCTCATCGTGACTGACGAGTATCACGCCGCCCTTGAAGGTCTGCAGACATCTGGAAAACGATTTCTTCCCTTATTCGGGGTCTGTCCGATATCCTCAAAAGAGTCAAGCGGACTGAACTTCGGTAAGACGTTACATAGGCAACGGCACATTCGATAATCGCGCTCAGCCCACTCACTTTCCGAGAGCGTCCACGGTCTCGATATCGAGATGATTCGTCGGCTCGTCGAGAACCAATAGATGGGGAACAGTCATGGCGATGACGCCGAAAGCGACCCGACTTTTCTGACCTCCTGACAATGACGCTATCGGTTGCAGAGCCATTTCGCCGGATATGCCGAACTGACCGAGTTGAGTTCTGTAACTCTCGGAAGGTTTTCCTGGAAGGGCACAGCCTTGAATATCCCGCCATGAACATGCCGCCGGAATTTCCCGCAATTAAGGCGAAGACTCTTCATTTACCAGGGAATCTCTTGGCGAGAAGCTCTACAGGAGAAACTTCGAGTTCAAGAGCGTCGACGTGATGTTGACTGAAGTATCCGATGACCAAATTGCGGTGGGCCATCCGTATTCCCTTTGTTGGTTCGAGACTCCCTGCGATGTAGAGAGGCTCGCTTATTATTGACCGGAGGAGTTGTTCATTTAAGGAATCGAATACCGGTGGGTCGCCAGATGGTCGAGGTTCCAGGCGCTCACCGTTGACTAACTTCAGCAGGGTCGTTTTTCCAGCACCGTTGTCTCCAACAATGCAGATTCGACTCTGCATGTTTGCCGACAAGTCCACGTTTTGGAGAATAGTGGCCGATTTGTCATAGGCGAAAGTTACGCTATCCAATTGTAGCACAGGTGGGAACAGAGCTTCGGGCTCCGGGAACTTCAGTGTGACGACCTGCTCGCGTTCGACAGGTTTCAGCTCGGGCCTGGAAGGGGAAGCCGCCTTGAGCGAAGTTCAGCCAGTGGGGGAAATCGCGGGAGCCCTGCGGTCTCAGATACAGGAGCTCTCGTACCTAAATACGTATATTATACATATGTATATATTATTCTAAACATGTGTATGCATGCGGAAGGATTCCAGATGTCGGAGGGAGCAATCGGAGAGCTTGTGTGAAGGGCTAGTGATAAAAAGTTTCAACTCACAATTTTTCGAGGGCCTTAATTCTACTTTGAACGAGAGATGCTCGCTTGGCGTTGTATCTGAACTTATCGATGAAAAGCTGGGCCTGCTTTCGATACGCCAATTGTGCCTCGTATTCTCGTTGTTGACTCGTGAGACGATCGTTCATGGTTTTGATGAAGTCCGTGTAGTTTCCTCGGTAGGGCTCCAGGCGTTGTGAATAGAAGTGATATATGTCAGTCGGCACCTCGTCAAGGAACTGTCGGTCGTGAGACACCACGAGTAACGTCGACTCCCAGCCCTGAAAGAGCAGGAAATATGTCTCAGGTGACTGAGGAAGAGGACGGAGCAGCGGGAAGGTTGCCTTCGGAAAGGGAGGCCTTGACAACATAAACTCCTGCGATTGATTCTACGGCATGTTCCCGAGCGGGGAGTGATTCCCATCGAGTCTCCAGTTACCTACCTTTAGATAGTTCTCGAGCCAAATTATGGCTTTCATGTCCAACATGTTCGTCGGCTCGTCGAGGAGCAACAGGTCAGGTTTTGTAAACAAGGCTCGGGCTAAGGCGATTCGCATCCTCCAGCCTCCGGAGAATTCCTTCGTCGCCTTTCTCTGCATGTCCGGGGTGAACCCCAAACCAGCCAGAATGACAGACGCGCGAGCCGGTGCTGACTCTGCCTCTATCTCATGGAGACGAGCGTATATTTCAGCAAGTCGTGCGTCGTTCGCTCCCGATTTCGTCAAGGTCTGTTCCTCCTTCATGAGCGTGTCCCGTTCTTCATCACATTCAAGGACACTTTCCAGCGCAGAGGTTTCATCGCCGACGACCTCTTGCTCCACGTGCAGGACGGTCACGTGCGCCGGCAGACAAAGTTGACGCGCCGATATCATCCTCAAGAGAGTGGATTTCCCTATTCCATTGCGACCAACGACACCATAACGTCTCCCGAAACTCAGCGACAGAGTCGCGTTGAGTAGCAAATTCTTATCGCCGATGCTTATGTCGAAGTTCTCGATTCGGATATCCCTAGATTTGGAACTCGCTTCGGACGTCTGTCCTCGGCGAGAGAGGGCTTGCGTGGCAGTTGCTTCCTTGTTTGTCTGGAGAGTTGCGCCTTGGAACCCACTCGGAGCCTCTATACCCTCGCGGCGCTCTTGCTTCGCGCGAATTTTCGCTTCTGCCTTCTCCAGCTTCCTCTGATCCACGGTCTGCAAAGAAGCATAGAATAACCCTCTCATCAGACCGCAGCAGCGTCTAGTCGGTCCTTCTGGGACGGAAGGTGAGAAGGTAGGAATCGGGGACAGCTTACCGAGCTGCTTTGCTTCTGAGCTAGCCATATTGAAGACACTTCTTCTTGATCTTGCTGAGGTGCCCCCATCGTCCCCATGAGGACTGGAGTGTTGAGCTGCTGCAGTTTATGGAGGCCATTCGGGAGATCAGTTCCCAAACTGAAAAATCGAATTATTCTGTCTGATTCCGATTCGAACCTACAAACTACCAGGACTCAAGGCCGAGTATTGCCTTCCACCGAATCCCCTGTATCGCCCTAGCTGATTCCCGACCTAGAGATCTCACCCGTCGGGTTTGACTGCCAGGAAGAACTGTGAGCACAGCATTTCGAGCTCCTTCGGATCCATCTGATTTCCAGAGACCTCGACGAGCATCTCTCCGACCGCATCTTGAATTTCTTCCACGGATTCGAAATCGTCAGCGGTGAGAACGCCTGTGAACAACGGTATAGCCTTGATTCAGTTGTGAAGTCCAGGGTGAATAACTCGCTTGACAGCTCGATGCGAGCTGTAAAATGAATCGGAGGAGGCGAGCCAGACGAGCATTAGCCCCAAAGGTAGAGGAAGTGTTCTAAATCGATGTATTGATATTTTCAGAGCAGAGAGAAAGAGAATCGATGACCAGTACTGGAATCGTCCTCGAGATGGGGCTGTCCTGAATTCCCAGCTCAAAATGGGGATATTCTGTGAATTCTGCCTCGCCGAAATCGTACATCTGTGACCCTTCGAAACGTGCATGTCCCCGCCAGAATTTCCGCACCTGATCTTGGTCAAGTCGCGAAGACAATCGCTACAAAGAAACTTGACATTGATCTCGCACTGCCGATCTCTCTCACCTGTTAGGTACTCATAGAGTTCTTCGTCGATTTTCGGAAAGCGGTTCTTCAGAACAGCCCGCACCTCGGCCGCCATCTTGACCAAAGGGTATATCCCGAGCAGACAGCTCATAAAACCGGCGGAATTTTCCGCCTCGCGCGGATGAGATGGTGGCAGCACGGAGTTTCGAGACCGAAGGTCCGTTTGGGATCCGCCAGGCGAGTCGGCGCTGCGAGACCGATGTTCGCATGAACTCTTCGGCCGCGGGTATCCCGCGAAACTTCATTTCTTCACGCAGAAATCTATCCCAACTTGTTTATACGCTAGCAGACGATTATCATCAATGATGTCCATGATCATTGCCTTGCGGCCGGTCGAGACTATGCGGTCCTCCCAGGTACGACAGCCTTCTCGATTCTCACACGACTAACAGGCCATTCTCTCGATGCTTTCAAGCCGTGTTTCGAGACAAGGTCGACCAGGAGAGTTCTCCTCGATTAAGGCTTCGCTTCTGAGAGAATTGGTTCACTAATTTTTCCCCAATCCTAACCTCAGAGAGTAATCCTACGCTAATAATTTTGATGCACCGGCTTTGAGGCCCACCCGGCCGCCCGTGTCGGCACCCAGACCAGATCGAATCACAGTCATCATCTGAGCGCGGTCAGTGAGGAAGGTTCGTTTTCCGAATGTTTACCGGTCGGCACCTATCGAGAGCGAATTGAAGCTGCAGCGCTCGAGCTATCGAGACAAGCTTCATGAGCAGTCTCTGCGGATGGGAGCAAGGGTGAGTATGTCAGATGGCGTCGATCGACGCTTTCGATATTTAAGGGGGTCGGCAAGAGAAGGCAAACCTTCCCCGCGAGTGGGAACGAATTATTCCTCCTACTCCTTTCGGTCTACGTTCGAAATGCTCCTGTCCTTGCTCGCAATCGAGACTCGTAGTGAAGTTTGGAACTCAGCCGTGCGTGTCGACTCCTCCGGCCCGGTCGGCTTTGAAGCCTCGGAGAACAGATGTTCAGTGTCAGAACCTCTCGACGAAGTTCGGCTGTGCTCTCGAAAGACTTGATCGTTTCGGAAGGCAACCCATCAGGGTGCTTTTTTTCCAGCGGTATCACGGTTTGAAATCATGGCTACCACCCTTCAGAGCAACACAGTCACCCTTCAAGGATCTGCGGCAATCGTGGCAGAATTCTTCGGTAAAGCTTTGTCTCTCGGGAATCGATCTATGGACAATATATCCCTTCTATCAGATTCTGATTAAGGCGACTCATTCCCCGCTAAAAGCCGACTCACCCTCGCAGAGTTCAGCGTGAACAGCATCCTGTATCAGAGAGGGGTCTATCCACCCGAAAATTTTTGCCGCGTCCAGAAGTATGGTTTGACCATGCTGGTCACAGACGATGAGCGTCTCAAAGAGTACCTTCAGGGAGTTGCTAATCAACTCAAGGAACTCCTGAGGAAGAAGATGATTCGGCAGCTTGTGCTTGTAAGTATGCTTGGGATACCCTCTGGGACATCTGAGCTCGAAAACAAGATACTACGCGGACCCTGAATCGTTTGCGATGGTGTTCGAAGTGGGCCATTCATTTCCACAGGTGATTGCCGATGTCGAAACGAAAGAGACTTTAGAACGTTGGGAATTCAAAGTCCATGTCGACGAAGAAATGACCGAGGAGAGTGCTCCGAAGACGAAAGAGCTGAAGACAATACAGCAGGAAATTGCAGCCATCATTCGGCAAATTGTCGCGAGTGTGACCTTTCTGCCGCAACTTGAGGGACAGCGTGAGCCTGCCAAGAAGTTTGCGACAAGCTCCACTCTCTAATTCTCGTTACTCCGACTTCCGAAACTCTCGTGAATAATACGCGGATTTCTTTCCAGTGGCTTTCGACCTCTTAGTGTACACGAAAAGAGACGGTGAAGTCAACGAAGAACTCTGGGCCGACTCGAAACCCATGTTGATCGAAGGCGGTCAAATGGTGAAAATCAAAAGTTTCTCGACATCTGTACATACCGTCGATGCTGCCGTCGTCTACCGCTGATTTGCATCGTGCAGTGATTCGGAATATTCTCAATATCCTATCCGTTCGGGCGGCTCTGACGCGGAGCACGACCATTGCTCTGACATGCTTCAACTCCACTCGAAGTGTCCCAATGATTGTGGAGCCGAGGATAGCGATCGAATTCCGAGCTCCTCCAGAGCTCTCTCATCGCTTTGTATATGCTAGGCTCCTGAGAACCAATCAATCATCACGAAGGTTAGCCTGATCGTCGATATTTTGTTGTAACATGGCACCGGCACGACTTGATTCTCAATAAATGGAGGCAACGGGGAACTATGAGCAGGGGCGAGCTCTTTTGTCTCTATCAAACTTGGCTTCTTCTTCCCGAAGATCGTTTATGTCTATGAGACTATTCATCAATCACATCGAGCATTCAGAGCTGATCTTGAATTCAGCTGAGCTGCTCAGTCTCTCCGGTCATCCCTGGAGGGAAAAAGCGCTTGCTGCGGGGACGGAGGCGGGGATACTTCCAGAAACAACCCTTACTCCTCGAGAGTTATTCTCAAGAAAATTCGGATGAGACTTGTGAATCGCTCTCTCATTCACGGAGAGTTCCAGCTGAGTGCAGGTAAGCGCACCACTTCACGAGGGGAGTCTGGGTATGGCAGGGCTCTGCCCAAACTAGGGGACCTCAATCCTAGAAAGGGAACACAGAGAGGGTGGTAAGAGCGGAAGTTCCCTCCTTGTGGCGTTCTCCTTCGCCATCATGCTAGGAGGAAGAGCAGATCGGATGGTCTCGCTCGTCGGTCATCGGAACCCCGTTCCGAACTTCTTTTGAGATTCTTGTGTGCGGTATGAGTGTCCATCAATATCCGAAGGTGGAGCTCTTTACGGGATGCCTGTTTGCTAACTCGTCGCTTGCTCTCCCGCGTGAGAACCAATTATCACTGGATGGTAGCCGATGCGAATGGAAGCACTGCATTCTGTACTTGGTTTGGCCCCTGGATTGCTTGCAGATAAGATCTATATGATGGCTGAGCTCAACAGATCGGTCGTGAAGCAAATCCCGGCAGAGAGGTCAGATTCGAAGCGTGAGGTAAGCGTCCATCCCTTCTTCGAATTCCTGATTCCTTGCAACCTTCCTCCCGAAATGAGAGAGTCTTCGGAAGACGAGATACATGGGGGTTCATGAACAGGCGACTGAAGTCATCAAAAGTTCATCATTCGAAGACCGCTCGAGCCGAGGCTCTTCGTCCGTCCGCCTCGCTGAGTCGATTCTGTCTTTCTTCAAACAAGGATGGCCGCTTCAAAGAGATTCGGCTTCCCAGCAAGACAAGACCTCACGACGATTTCGCCGATATCCGGAATCATGTAAATTACATCATCCCTCATCCTGAACTTTTTTAAGTTGCGGACCTATTACACTGATGGCCGTCTATCCCTGAAGCTTGCATCTACTAATCTACTTCCGTCCTTCCGGCATCCCAATAAATGGACGGACGGACTCGGCCGGAGTAATAGATCCGCTTCGGTCGCCATGGAACTTATGAAGCGAAAAGTTTCTGGCGTCCTTCAGAGGAGCCGCTGAAGACCCGTAGTGCAAAAGTGTTCTCCTCCAGGAGTACGACGTCCCCCTTTAACATCCGAGCGCTCTTTCTCTACTGAATGTCTCGAATTTCTGGATCTCTCTTCCTGTTATCCCGCCGCATTTCTCCGACTTCTCGCGATCGGAAAATTCACTGACTCAGTTTCCTAGAGTCTGACGCTCGATTGTGAGCCCAACTCCGAGAAATGCGAACGACTTCCCAGCCGGATCACTCACGTCTGGCAACTCGTGGCCGAGATGTCTGGAGCTCGACTCTGTTCTTGCATTTTTTGCTCGACGCGCCTCTTCGTCCGTGCTTGGAATCTGTGACCGCGGAAGCCCGAGCGCTCCCGTTTCCAAGTCTCCGGAATCGCCCGCGGGAATATTTTTATCTCTGTGTTCCCGCGTGCCTTGCATTTCTCACCTTCAAAGCTTATCCTCACGGTGAGGGCGATTCGCTACCTCAGCTCTTGTTGTGGGTTTCCGGGGCTCATGCACTCGTCAACGATCGGACGCTGAAGCTTGTAGTTGGTGGATCGGACCCTAGGAGGCCGCCCTATTGCCACGGGCTGAAAACGCCGGGACAAGGAATGATACCATACTCGGTTCAGCCGTGCTGTAGCGTGAGACAGCTGACAACATGTCGGACCACGCGATTGTATGTGAAAAATATCTCAAAATGTTTCGTTCACTTTCGTTACTCCATGGGTGTTTCTACCAGGACTCTCGACGAATGAAAAGCCCTTCCGATTGGATACTCCTCGCAGATGCCGGATATCGAGTGAAAGTGATTCGAGCGGTCTGAGAATCTGATCGACCGAGCATCAGCGGTCTTGCTCTACTGAATATTGATTTTTCGAGACCTTAAACTTCGTCAGCTCTGACAGGGAATGCGTGTGCTCTGTTCGAGCGTGAGCTCGTCTCGGAGTATTCACACGTTGATTCTTTTCTCTTGCGGAGTTCTCCGTCTCCACGTCGGTCAGAGCTTCCTCTTTTCAAGGAACCCGAGGAAGATTCAGTATCGATGCTGTACGTGGGTCAAACGAAAGACCCTGTGAATCGCAAGGGGTTTCAATTGGAATTCCGATGGGATCCATGCCTGACTTCCCAGATGAGCTCCTTCTCAGGGCTCTCCTCCTCATCGTGATTCATTAGAAAGCGAAAGAGACACGTCGCGGGCAGACGGCCACCTTCGCTCGTATCAGTGTCGACTCCGAAATTTCCGAGTCGGTATAAATATGCTTCCTCTGACGTCCTTCAACTTATTATCAATCATTTTCTTTCTCACCTCCAACTCAGGCTGGCTCCGTGCCTTCGACTGCATCGCGCAACGCTATCTCGACGAGGCTTTACGACTTGGAATTCGTATACGCCTGGCTTGCTCCGAGTCCCAGTACCACAACGGCTTCGCGTTGAGGATCGTCCTGATAATTCTGAGAATAATGACGAACCACGACCGGAAACAACGCGCGCGCTGCATTGAGACCTCCGCCCCCGAGGGGAACTACAAGGGAAGAAGTAGTTGAGTCGTATGACAGACGTGATCCACTCGAGTATCTGATAGCGATTGCACACAGCATTCGTTTCTAGCTCCATGTAGAGTCTAGAGAAGAGAAATTAAAATATCATTAGAAGATCTTGTTCATGGTGCCGAGAGGAAGCGTAATTCAAAGCACTCAAAGCGAATGAAAAATTATTGCGGACCTCCGATGGAGATGTTATTGAAGTATGGGAGAGCGACAAGATTCACGCTTATCGATTTGATCATCAATAATAATCAACAAAGCCAAGGAGGAAAATTCGGGGCTGAAGAACCGTGGAAATGGCCGCCCGAGGTACTTATCCGCCAGATCAGCGGTGCGCTCAAGTCGTATCGGCGTGCAAATTGGCCCTGCGCCCAAATTGGATCTGCGCGCGAATTGGATCTGCGCGCGAACTGAATCTGCGCGCAAATTGATCCTGCGCGCAAGTTGACTGGCGCGCGAATTGGCCGTCACCGTCGAGATGGAATTGGCCAAGTGGCAGTTTTCCAAAGTAAGTATGTGTGCGTATTAGAGCGTCTGTCCCGTTTCTTTGAACAGATAGACCAATGGCGGTGGCGGTCTGTGATGCTCATCTAAACAGGAGTTCCTGATTGGTGGGCGGCTCTTAGTGGTTTCGATATCCGTTACACTACTTCCGTTGCATTCGTTTACTTCGTGCAGTGCCCCTATATCTGTGCGACCTAAGATGCAGTCCTACGTGAAAAGCGACTTAGGACGCAGTCCTACGTCAAGTGCGACCTAGGATGCAGTCCTGCGTCAATATGTGAGCAAGCATGTTTTGTGTTATTACTGAACATTTCTCCGCCGAGGAATCGACCGAGCGCAGAAAACTTGCGGGCAAAGAAGGAGGACACCCACGAGTACAGTCTTGTCTTCCTGAAGGGAGGCCTGATATTCGAAGGCGTATTCGCCGTAATCGGGGCGCTTGCCCACATCGCGAAGACGTGGCATCCCGACTAACGAGACACCGCGAGAGAATTCTCCGGACGCCTCGTATTTGTGGCGAAAGGAGCGTGTGTGATTGGCTAATTTTTCGCATGTTTAAACTAGGTTCGCTGAGACGCGGAGAAGCGCCGTGGAGATACATCCGAAGCGGCTTGCGGTCAGGGGAAACCCTGGAAGATATAGAGGCAGAGGATTTCGACGACTAATTCAAGGAATTCAATGCTCCGTGTTGAGGTTTGGATAGAAACTGAAAACTAGTAGTCCTCGTTCCGTAATAGGACTATGACTCATGGCAACCCCACGGGGCCAATAAAATTCACTGTGGTATCTTTTTTTTAATGGGAAAACTCTTCATTTGTGCAACAAAGGTATATCTTATCATAGAACATGTGATCGATTAAATCTCTGTGTATTCCTGAGCGGGCTGCTCTCCTACTCCGTACCAGAGCTACGAATCTTGACCTCTATTACGTTATCAGCACTTTTGGCCTGACCAACTGGCTGCACAGAGTTCCTGTACATCTCCTCAACGATCGAGAGGGTAAGCTGAAAACGCAGTCTTCACCTACTGGTTTAAACGTACGACTACGTACAGCTTCACACGGTTCTTTCGGCGCATGCAGAAAGAGTCAGAGATTGAGCATTCGTTTGATCTTCGCGATCACGACTTGGCTCCACCTCAACTCTTTACCAGTCAGGTAGGAGTTATGGCTGACTCTTCTGAAAGCACATCTGGTAAGAAATTCAATCGACTCGGTTCGGTGATACTTGCAGACGACGGCTCCAACTCCCTGGCATGGAAATCGACTGTGACTACGCGTCTCCAATTAGAGGGTAATGCCTGGGAGGTAGTGGAAAAGAAAATTAGGGCCTTGTGACGACAAATACAAGCAAGCTTTATCCGCAAAAGCTATCTTGCTGTTTTCGATTTCTCAAAATCTTGTTGCCTCAAAAGTCAGCTCGACAGTTAAGGATGCGGCTGCTTCGGACATCTGAGACAAACTCAACAAGCGCTTTGGTGCGACGGCCGAGGCCTCAAGAGTCACCGCTGTGTCGCGATTCTTCAAATTTGAATGGAATCCCAGGAAAAGGGTAATCCAGAACATGGATGTCCTCGATATGGTCACGGCTGGTGTAGAGGCTGCGGATGCCGCGCTGGGAGAACCCATGGCATGTCGCCGTCTCCTCCAGCTGCTGCTTCCGTCATGTACACAATTAGGGCTATTCTGGTCTGTGAAAGCCGCCTCTGAGCAAACGCTGCCGAATCTGTATGA